AAAGTTCGTGTTTAGCCAGGAAGCCAAGCTCGGTTTAGCATTTTTAGCGTTATGGAACACTTCGATGGAGATTTCGTTATGTGAGGGAGATTTGAAAGAGGGGGGGGGCCCTGGATTGATCGTGGGTTGATTGGTGCCTACTGTGGTTACTGTACATGATTTCCCTTCTTGACTGACAGGGACGATCAGGCAATCCGGCACCCGAGATGGAAAGACATCACTTGTCATGATGAAGTCATTTGCCCATAGTGAATGCATTATAGGGATGTTGATTGAGACACAACAGTCAGATGATATGAGAGGGATATATGCATCCTTTGCAGCCGTTGGGCGCTGTCATCTGCTCACCGGCAGGAGTCAGCAAGCCGGGGAGGGGTCAAGAAACCATTGTCGTTTTTGTGATGATCACAAAAGCGCACAGTAAGCGATGACTTGTCCCCTGGGGCTATTATTGGTAGACAGAAAGAAAGAGTCCCGACCGAAACTGTGTGCCTCGCCGCCGCTACTATTGGAATCGAAGCTATTTCCGGTTCTGGGTGGGGCGCTTTTCCAGAATGTCGGGATAATTTCTTTGGAGCTTGGGAAAGATGGAAAAGGAAAGGGAAAGAAAATTTAAGATACGGATGGGGCACAGGTTGTCTGCGCTATCTGTTGATACGCGTACCGATTAAACCCGTTCTTCTGAGAACCAGAGAACCAAACAGATTGAACTCTCTTTCGAAGTTCTCAGTCTCCCTCTTCCTCTCTCTCCACATCATGCGGACAGTTAACCGAGTTTCAAACACCCTCTCATAGAGTTCACTCGTCCGAGAGTTTCATCGCAAGGTTTAACCTCCGACCTCCGATCGGGGATCGGAGAAGAGTACCACAAAGGGACATTTGAGACGATCCCGGAGGTGAAGAAAATCAGCTCAGATCTCTGGTACTTTGACACCGTGTGCTCTCGGAGAAAAAAAAAAGTATCAGGATGTGTCGTAAGCGCTTGCTAAATTTTTTCTCTTTCCCTCTCTCCGGAGTACTCGGGGGTGGGAAAGAACAGTTTGAGGGTTTGATCCAGATTGACCTGCCCCATCGTCGCCAATCAAGGCACTGGACGTGATGCTAATTATCGTGACTAGCGTCAGATGCCCAGGTCAAACCCACTCATTTCGTCCCATCAGATTCCAGTACAGCGTGGCTAAAAGCTTGTCCGTAAGCCTCCTTCTGGGGATGGTGACCAGGGGGTGAGGAGGAGCAGGAGAAGGACGGAGGACGGAGCAATTGACATCTGGCCACGGCAGGCAACGATCTACGGCATTTGCTCCCGGTTAGAAACATGAGCAGGGCACTGTGTGGGCTATTTGCGCGGACTCTCAATGAATGTGTAAATACGCTTACTCTTAATCTATACAGCCCATACCTCATTCTCGGAGAGAAAGTGCTCGTCGAGGGTGGCAGGCTAGGGCAACAGGGAAGGACGGCAAGGCAACGGGTTGACCACCGGCTGGCTGCTTAATCATCGGGATTGATCTTGACAAGCAGCAGGTGTGGTTGTGGTTGCCACTCGGAAGACGATCGATACCAAATACCAATCAATACCATGCAGTCCTCGGGAACCCTGGAAAGTTTATGCTTGCATCTGGTTGGACTTAGTGCCGATAACCTGAACTGACAACAGCGGCCGAGACATCCATTCGTTGTTCATTCTTGCGTCTGATTGTCGTCTTTAGCTCAGCAATTGAGTTCCACACACACTCACATATCATCGATAGACATACAGCTGCCGTCTTCCTTTTGGTATCCTGCACTACATCTGTACTGGACAACACTGTACAATCGGTACAATCGACTGACACGATGGCCGAGACAGTGCGGGAACAATGCGCTCACCAGTTAGATACCACTGCTTTCTCTCCTCCCGCCCATTTAGCTGACGACAGGGACACGTACCAGCCAGGGATCTAGGTAGTTTAGATCCAAGCCTCGGTGGGAAGAAGAGGGGCTATTGGGCCCTGAAAGGGGGCCATCGGCCCTTTTTTAGCTGACGGACTCCCCCTCTGGATGACGAGGTCACCTCGGAGCTAAGCTTGAGTAGTCTTCCTTAGTCGTTACAAGATCCCAATGCAGAAACGGGGGGAAAACAAGCCCCGTTCCTAATGTTTTACTTCTTACTATTATTACCAGTATCGTTACGATGACAGGAGCCGAGCCACACCTCACACCCACTTCGACTGGTTCAATCCGCGTGGCTGTTGAGAAGATTGGATTGAAACCTTTTTTTCTTGGGGTTTTTGTTGGAAGTTTACCGTCTGACTGACTGACTGACTAAGGGGTTGGTTGTGCGGATAACTAGCGGGTAGAACTAATGCCGAAATGGTTATGCACTTCGGCGTTATCGGAGGGGCAAAGAGCAGAGGAAATCTGAAGGAAAGGAACGAGATTCATGGATGAATGGAAATCTGCATATCCGGGTTGAGACCTGATTATTCTTTTGTGCTCGTAACTACTGAGTACGGACCACGAAGGCATGAGTTATGAGTAGTAAAGGACAAGGAGAGACAAATGGGAAATTAAACCCCATCTAATCTGGTCGGCTCAAGAAGCGGGAGGACGCTATTGGCATAGACCCTGTGGCTGTTCTCCAGTTAGGGTCTTCCCAAGAGTCCGTTTCTCTTCTTGTCTGGCTCTCAGGCTCACCCAACGAACCAACCGAGAATTCTTTTTTTGTTTTTTTCCTTGCCGTCTTTTTTTTCTGTCTTCTTTTTCTGTAATTCTTGGTTTCGATTTTATCTTTTTTTTTTCCATTCCCATAACAGTTACCATAAATGATGATGCCTATTTTGTACTCCACCCCGACGAACTAGCGTCGTGGACATTATCCATGAATCCATTACCCATTAAATCCATTTCCCACCTACTATGAACTAGTCCACTAGTGAGTTAACTCAACTGACGGACTTTGGACATGGCCAGAGCTTCTGGAGAGACCCTGGACGGGTTTCAAGATGCTTCTTTTACTGCGACGAAAAGACGAAAAGTCGCTGGTTCGACCGTTCGTCACCTCTTGTGCCCACCCTCCACTTACCCTCTCACCCCTTCTCGCTCTCTCGCCTTTTAATATTCTTGGTCTGCCCGTCTCATTCGACATCCTCTCCCTAATTTCCAATTTTGATATCACCGACTCACACTAATCCTCAACTCCCATACTACCTTCCTTCCGAATCCTACTCGTCTCCCTCTTTCTCTCTTCCTGCGACACCTCAGGCTTTGTCTATCCTTCATTGCTCTGCAGCTTTCCCACTTTCGGCCGATCCTCATCTATCCGCTCTTATCGCCTCCTGTATCTACATACAACAACCACGGTCAGCTCACAGACAGAACATCAACCGCCTTGATCGCCGTGCAATTTGTTTGCGTGTGTGTGCGTGCGTGCGTGTGTGTGTCTCGAGTGTCATTCCGTCATTCTCTGTGCTTGTTGGGATTATCTCCGAGCCCTGCCAAATCGACTGGGCTGAATTGCAATTACTGTTTTATTTGCCCTACTCCTCCAGCAGCCGGTGGACCCCGCGCATCGACAGCCCTCGAAGTGATCGACATCGGGTGATTGTCTCGTTGTCTCAGTCACATCCGTGGGGAATTATCGCCTACAGCGAAATTTCTCCTATCCGACCAAAGACGGAAGACCCAGCAACGAGCTAACTGGGTGCATTGCATCTTCCATCTCAGCGCTCTCCAGGGGTCTTTCCTACAGATCGAGGGGGGTCCTCGTTACACGAACTAATTCCGACAAGGCAAACATTCTCCTTACTAACTGGGTACGTACTTCGGATCTCTTAGTTCCCTGACCATGCTTTCTTCGTATGTTTTTCGTTCCTTGAGTTTTTTTTTTGGTTCCCTTTGCCGAGGGTTGTTAGTCTGTTGAACCATTCGCGGAGATACATGGTCGACGGGAGCCGGAACTCCGAAGCACAGATAGATAGCTTAGATAAGAACGACAAAGCGATTGATGACAGAGGACAGAGGGACTGAACTCGGAACTAATCATGACTCGAACAGATCGATTGCATCTTGTGGACAAGATGGCTAGTTGTCAAGCAAGCTTTGTGTCGATCTTGAACAACGACGACAACCCGGCCTTTACTGTGCGGTCTGCCCCGGGGATCTCTCGACAAAACTCCAGCTCTTCATATTCCTCTTACCACTATGAGCCTCAATCAACGACGACGACGACGACAAGGACATTAACCCCTGATTTCCGCTACCACCATCAACACCACCACCACAACCATCACCACCATGCCTACACGAACTCCCCATCAGTATCCCCCGCTTTGGCGCGCCATCCTTACGAACCCGTGTCTGAACCCACGCAGCCCACGTCTCCCGGTTCCTCCGACTGTTCCTACGACTACATGAGCAGCGGCGCCAGCGTTCGATCGCATTACCACCTTAGTCGGCAAGAACCTCATGGCTACCGGCCCATGGCAGAGAAGCAGATCAGTGGGAGCTCGGTAGTCGAGCCTCCGTCCCCGCAGCCTTCGATTGGAAGCACGACCAAGGAAAGCATGGCTGCAAAATCGGGGGTCCGGAAGAACAAGTACCCTTGCCCTTTTGCTGCCAGCCATGGCTGCACCGCAACTTTTACCACCTCGGGCCATGCCGCCCGCCACGGCAAGAAGCACACCGGGGAGAAAAGCGTCCATTGCCCGATCTGCAACAAGGCGTTCACCCGCAAGGACAACATGAAGCAGCATATCCGGACGCACCGGACTCACTCTGAAGAGATGCCCACGGGGATGGCCACCGACCGGGAAAGCGATGGGAGCAGCAGCTGGTCGACCCGGAGAAGCACCGCTTCTTCCACCTACGCCCACCAGCGGTCGACCAGCCAGGCCCAGCGGGAGAAATCCTCTTACGATGCCATGCCACCACGAGTATGATGAGAGAACTGAGGATTTTTTCTGGTTTTTTACCTTATTCTCCTTCTCCTTCTCCTTCTTTCCGACCTTTTCCCTCATCCATGGTCAATCGAGCTCGATATGAGGGATTGACCGGCGCTGAGGGTGACCGCTGTGCGGTCCCCTGGAGCATACGCCTTCAGTATGGAGGTTTCCCTTTTTGTGCATCGTCCGAGCTGGACGAATTTTGGATTGCAGGATAGACTTTGTTCCATTTCTTTGGACAACTTGGGGCTTGATCCCCTCGTTCTTCTTCTATTCATCTGTTCTATTGTGTATAGACGGCACGGAGAGCCGCGTGTATTTGTTTTTCCCCCTCCATTTTCTCTCCATGCATTTCCTGCCTTGATTTCACTTCCTCAATTTGTCTTCTTGTCCATGTTTCCATTTGTGGTTACTCACTTTGCATATGCGACCAATTCTTTTGTTGGGTTGCATGGGTGTTCTCAAGCGTGTTAGATTCTGTTCTCCTGTCTGCCATGAATACCTCATCTGTCTTTGATTTGTTTCTTGCTTATCTGGAGTTTCTACCCGGGGGAAGGGATCCACCACAAAAAATGTGTTTTATACTGTACAATAAGTTTTGTGCCTATGTGTGAGGGCTACGAGGAATTGACAGGGTCACTACTGCATGACCGCCTGTCAAGATGGAATTTCCGAATGCGATGATATCCACCTGAAGATCTACAACAATCTGATCACTGCTTTTTCCATATACCCGAATTAGATGTTCTCTTCCAGTGCCTACCTAGTTAATTCACGTCGTGTGTAGTAAGTTATGTCGTATGGGTGTCTGCCGTATGCAATCCTCAGTAAGGGGATTTGAACCACGGAACGGGCGGGGACGGAAAAGCCGGGGAGACGAACACAAAGAGTGCAAGTCTGGAACAGCCACCGGGAAGGGACCACTTCTCTATCTCTACTTCATCCCTAACTTTTCTATACTTTCTATACTTCTTTACGGCTATAGGTTGGTCCTACGTGGATGCCTGTCCATCGACCTCATTGTTGACCAGGATGATGGTGGTGGTGGTGGTAGTTTGGGTAGACTTTGACTGACTCAGGCCGACGACGATGATGTCAGTTTAGCTGGGATGCTTTTGCTCACTGAGAGCGTCTGAGCCGAAGGACAACAAGACTCGGCTGAATGGGATGGTGACACGCCTTTCATCATGGGGGATAATGGTATGCTCTCGCCTCACCAATAGCCGAGCCCCATCCCCCACCGAGGGGATTTGTTTCACAATAGTGGAGGAAGGGTTGCCCGACTGACTGACTGACTGACTGACTGAGGGACAGTTCACTCGTGCTGTTTTGATGGACCCTCCTCCGGCCGAGATGGGCAGAAACAAACAATGGCCGTGGGAGACTCATCAAGAAGAGGGAGAAAGCAACAGGGTACCTGGATGGTACCTGAGTGAGTGGTGGATGTTCTAGCCTTTGCAGAAGTCACTGAGGGGTAGACTGGACTACGACGTCACTGAGGGAGAGGGAGGATTCTTTTGGTGAATCGAATGCAAGCCAGCCAGCCAGCCGTGCCGGTCGCCACTGCCAGATCGGGAGATCCAATGAAGTGCCTGTAAATGCCTGAATTGGCCTGAAAACTAGTAGACTACCAATAGTTACCAGCTGACTTTCCTTTTCATCCCATCATCACCTCTTCCAACTTCTTTTCTTCCACTCTCTCATTCCTCTCTTTTATCCCTTTTATCATCATCTCGTCCTCCTCCTTATTTCACCCCATCACTATCATCCCATCCATCCGTCAACCATCAACTCACCATTGTCTGCATGGCTTAGGTTAACCATCGCTGCATCTTGAACCCCTCCACCGAAACATCCAACCAACCCCCGCTTCGCCAGTTTGTGACTTTGTGACCATGGCCTACTACGACGGGCGCCAATATTCCTCTCGCCCTTCTGCTGGCTATAACCCTGACTACTATTATCCCCCCTCTCGCCATCAAACCGATGTTGTGCGTCATCATCGGGATGGCAGTGTCGAGTCCTTCGAGGCCGTCCACCGCGACTATCCCCCCGCCGATTATGGCTACGAGTACGGCTACGGCATTCCCCCGCAGGGAAAACCCACCCGCGCGTCCACCGTCCACGAAAGTGTGCGCCGTTCCCACTCCGTGAACCCCCGCGACCCTTACGACGACGGCTCCGACTACTATCGACACTCACATCGCCGCTCCAGACGCCATGACGATCGACGTACGTATATCCAGCAGATGTTCTCTCACACCAATTATCTCGGACGAGCTAGAATAAAGTCCCCAGTCAACCCAACGTGCTGACCTTGCCTAGATGACAGGGGTCGATACTCCCGGTCCCCCTCCGACAGCCGCTCGCCCCCACCGCGCCGACGCAAGTCCATCTCCGAGCAAGCCCTGGGGGCGCTGGGGTTGGGATCGCTTGCTTCGTCGGGCTCGAGACATCGGGAGCGCGGCCGCTCGCAGGCCCGCGACCGCAAATCCTACTCCTACTCGCCGTCTCCGACTCGCTCGCGGAGTCGCCATCGGCGCGAGAAAAGCGAGCAACGCATCGCACAGGCGATGCGGGCCGCTCTGACCGCCGGAGCCATCGAGGCATTCCGCGTCCGCAAGGACCCCGGGGAGTGGACCGGCGCCAAGGGGAAGCGGATCTTGACCGCTGCCATCGCGGCCGGGGGCACGGATGGACTGGTGGACCGCGATCCCAAGAAGCACTCGAAGCGTCATGTCGTGGAATCGACCCTGGCCGGGCTCGCCGCCAACCACTTCCTGAACGGGTCCCGATCCCGCTCCCGTTCCCGCGGCCGGCACCATGGACGCTCCCAGAGCAACAGTGGCGTGAAGAATCTCGCTGCCACAGGCGCCTTGGCTGCGATCGGCAAGGAAGCATACGATCGGTTCCGCTCCAGGTCCCGTCCCCGGGACCGGAGTCGGGGCCGATCTCTCTCGCAGGACAGCTACGAGGACCGTCGTCCGAGACCGCGGAGCAAGAGCGTCTCGGACTACATCCACAAGGGGATGGAGGCGCTGGGTCTGAGCGAGAAGGACCACCGCCGGGACAGCCGGGACAGCCGGGACCGAGATGGCCGCCGCTCGTCCCGTCGCGATGATTACCCCGACGACTATAGCGACTATGAGTATCGCCGTCACCGAAGCCCGCAGCGCTCCCGACATTCTAGAGATGTGAGTCGACCAATTGTTCACGCCGACGAAGCTGGCTATAGCCGTACCCGTGCCCCGGATGAGCCCCGTTCCAACTCCAACAGCACCGAGGATTGTGACTCTGACTTAGGAAGCAGTACCGATGAGGAGAAGCGCCAGAAGAAACTAACGCGCAAGACGCTGGTCAAGACCGGCCTGGCGACCGTGGCCACAATCCACGCCGCCCATGAGCTCTATGAAAACATGGAAAAACACAAGAAACGAGCCGAGCAGCTCCGCGAGGGCGAGATCACCCCGGAGGAAGCGCGCCGCCGGCGCCTCAAGGCCAATCTCGGCGATGTGGCCAGCGTGGGCATCGCCGCCTGGGGTATCAAAGGCGCCGCGGATGAATGGAAACATGCGGCTGAGCTCCGGAAGGAGCGCCAGAAGTTGCGTGAGGAGTGCGAACACAAGCGCGAACGGCGCCATCAGCGCGCGCAGAGCCACGCGGGATATGACCATCACCAACCACGGACCATGTACCCGGATGAGATCGAGGAGCACCATCCGTCCGAGTATGGGTCCACCCCGAGCCTTCGGTCTCGGTCGGCGGGACGGTCGAGGCGGGTGCCCATGGCGCAGTATGCTTGATTGCCTGTGCAAGGAGGAAAACTTGATATAAAGGGGCTCAGCGCCCGTTGGATGGTGCTGTGTGTAGGATGTGTGTGTTGCGATGATATGATGATGAGCTTATGACTTGATGAATTCGCGAGACGTGTCCGTCTTGGACTGATGTATTTTACTTCTGGGTGCTGTGGTTCCGTGGGTTGAAATTTTTTCTTTGATGCGTGGCTTTGTGATGCGTACGGCCCTACTGATGAAGAATTGATGATGGGATCTTGGGGGCCATCTACTCTACCATTGATGATTGTTTTGACATTGCTTGTTGAGATTATTTACTATATTACCAGAAGTGAGCTGGCTCGAGCCACAGCTAGTAGATTATGTGTCTTGTGTAGAGTGATACTGGAAGAGGAGCTTATCTCTACGACACCTCGAAGAATCGCCTGCTCTACCTTCCTCCCGCGGGTACTTCACACGCTACCCAGAGCACGTCCGCTAGGTCCTCCTGAGAGTCTGACGGGGATGGCGGAATCTGGCGGGGGATACCAGGGGCGATGCTGATTACGATGGTTACACATCGATTGGGATGAAGTTTGAGATTGCATGAATGATGGTATTATGGCTTGGATGTGATATGTATGATAGTTGTTGTTTAATGCCTGGATAAGCGGCTTGTCAGCTTCGTGTTGACAGAGCTTGGGGGCTTGAATAGCGAGAATCAAGGGATCGATAGATCAGATCAAGTGTAGAAGAGTCAACATCCAATCTCACAGTGTATTAGGAGACTGTCCGAATTGCAGAATTCTTCATTTTTGCTCATCATATCGGGGTTGTGTGGTTTGGCAGGGAGGATGAACAGCCAGACTTACACTTCTTGTTAGTTCGGAATAGAGGTGGATTAGACGTAAAACATTATTATCATTCAAATCTCTTGAGATTGCACTGCGCCTGCGCAGTTGACTGAGAAAGACGGAGGAAAGAAGAGAGAAGGAGGGGAAATGAATCTTGAAGGCAGTGGCCAGGTTTTGTTCCTCCGCCGATGACCGGTCACGTGCCTCTACCAAATCGGTATACTCGAGATGCGATCATGGATCGCATAATCTCCGGCCTCCGTCCGCGCCCTGTTGCTCTCTCTCCGTCTCCCAAACAACAACCATAATCTATTCCATCACCACCACCTGCATTCACTCCTATCCCTATCGCCAAAATTCCTCACTCACAAAATCACCTGACCTCCACTCCTCCACCCTCCAATCTGTCACAATGACAGAATCACCGGGTTCCCCCCTCTCCTCCATCGCCTCCGACGAGGACATGTCGGACCGCGACGACCTCAAGCAACCCTTCTCCCCCTCCGGCTCCGTCACCAACTCCAACATGCCCCCCTCGAAACGCCGTCGCACCGGCGCCGTCACCTCCTGGGACCGTGCCACCCCGGTCTCGACCACCTTCCCAGACGACCTCCCGCCGCCCTCGCCCTCGACCTCCATCTCCTCCGACACCTCGGGCGAGATCCCCAACTCGCCCGGCACGTACGCGCTGATCGGCGGCAGCATCGACGACGACTACAGCGGTCAGGCCAACGACCAGGTGACCGTGTGCCGCTGGGACGGGTGCGACGCCGGCGATTTGGGCAACATGGACGGACTGGTCAAGCACATCCACGACGAGCACGTCGGCAGCCGGCAGAAGAAGTACTCGTGCGAGTGGGCCGACTGCAGTCGGAAGGGGCAGACGCATGCCAGCGGCTATGCGTTGCGCGCCCATATGCGGAGCCACACCCGCGAGAAGCCGTTCTACTGCGCCTTGCCTGGTTCGTCCTTTGATCCTTTCTTTTTTTTTTTTTTTTGCCCCGCCGCAGAGACCTTTCTAGAGAGGTTCCCTCTTCCCCCGAGAATGGCATTTGGTACTAATTGACCCGACGGAAAAAAGAATGCGACCGCAGTTTCACCCGCTCCGACGCCCTGGCCAAACACATGCGCACCGTCCACGAAACCGAGGCCCTCCGCCCGTCGGACCCCGTCCCCAAACACCACACCACCCTCGCGGCGGCGGCCGCGGTCGCCGCCGCCGCCTCCTCCTCGGCCGCGCCGACCCCGACGGGGACGCCGGCGGGCAAGGTGCAGCGCATCAGGCTGAAGCTCTCGCAGCCCAAGGGCGGGGAGGAGCCGTTCGGCGACTACGGCGAGAGCGCGACCGAGGAGACGGAGGAGGATCTGTCCGTGCCGCCCGTGGGCTCGGAGAAGGGGTTCGACGTGCACGAGCTGCTGCTCGAGGGGCCCCAGCTGTACCGGCTGCTGCTGCGGCAGATCCACTGGGCGCGCAAGGAAGGCGAGCAGCTGCGGGCGGCCGGGGAGACGATCCTGGGCAAGCGCAAGGAGGCCTGGTTGGAGAAGGAGGCGATCTTCGATGATCTGGTCGAGGCGGAGCTGGGGCTGTTCCGCACGATAGCCGGCCAGGAAGGGGCGCTGCTGGCGGGGATGGAGCTGGATCCGCCGGCGGCGGAGGGGGAGGCGCAGCCGGAGCCGCTGGAGTCGACGGAGGGGGTGGAGGTGGAGGTGGAGGCGGAGGTGGAGGTCAAGGATGATTCGGAGGCTGTTCCGTCGTGATGCATCCTTCGCATCTTGATCCGCTCTTTCCGGTCCTTTTGACCAGAGGTTGTTGTCTGTTGCGTGCAGGCGGATCCAGAGTCTCGAATTCCGGGTTTCCTTTTTTTTTTTTTTGTGTCAATGTTTGCGGGTTTGTCAAAAATATCCCTGGTCTCTTTTTCTTGGTTTCGGTTCTCTCATCGCTCGTGTACTGTATGGTATGGGAAGGGGGGGAGTTTGGGCGCTACGATCCATCATCATGACTATTTAAGTAGTCATGGCAATTTACGATCATCTACCTCTGACACGAGCAAACCAGTTTCTGCTGCAATTTCTAATCACCTAGATGATGACCATCCTTAACGACTATTCAGCTAGAAGCAGACGAACATAACCGGGTTATGTGATCCCCTGATGCCCCAGCGAAGCAGAGCAGAACTGCAGAAGAATCAAGGTCTGCCTCCACACACACGACGCCGTCGATTACAAAACTTGCACTGTGTTATGCGATGCAGAGCATCAAAAATTCTCATTTCAAGTAATCCCATACCATATCATCATTTGACGAAGAACACAGGTCCAGGCCAAGAATAGCAAACACAACCTAGCCCACTGTATTCCCAAAAACAATTCAATATCTCATCAACAACACCCAGATTTGTCTTTGTCCAGACAGACACCAAAGTCAACACCGTTCCCAATCCGCCAGAATATTGTACCGTATCGAGTCCAACGCAAACACATGATGAATTCCAAGGTGACGGTGAGGGTGACGCTGACGCTGACGATCGAGGGAAAATACGGATGCCCCTATGCCCAGGCAGGTATGTTAGCATACTGTCATCCTCAAACTCCCCTCAGTGTTAAACCCTCCGCGCCTCAACCCCGACCAAGATTCCTTTGACTTACTAGAACCAAGTGTACTATCACCAAGTGGTGAAAACGTGACCAAAGTCCAATTGTCTTTGCCGATGGAACCAATCAGTATGTCACCCCGGACCCCATCCCCGGCGGCAGATCGTTGGGTCCCGAGCCGCAGTAGCACCGGTGGCCGCGCTTGGAGCAGTTGCAGTTGGTCCGGATGTGGCCGCAGTAGCAGTGCCGGTATTTGTCGCAGACGCCCCAGCATGGCTTGTATTGCATATGTTAGTCAGTGTATGTGGATATAAGTGGGGGGTTAGGTGGTGTGTGGATTGGACGGTAGGGCAGGGGGGCTGCTGCTTACCTCGCCACGCGCGACGAGCGGAGAATTTTCAGTTTCGATGCCCACCGGGGAGGTTGCGGTTTCGGTGTCAGTGGCGTCTTCCTCGGGGTTGAGGGGGCTGTCGTCCTGGGGGTTGAGTTCGGCGGTGGAGTCCTCAGTGGATGAGGTAGCGGGGTCTTCGATGACCGTATCATCTACCTCCGCCTCGTCACCGGGGAATGTGGGGATGGATTCAAGCTCCCGCGGGGGCAGGAAGGGGAAGACGCATTTGCAGTTCTCGCCGGGGATCTGGCAGCGACAGGTCTTGCCGCGGCAGTTGCATTTGTGCTTGCGGCTGCAGGTGCCGTAGCAGGTCTGTTTGGGGGGGTGGGTTAGTATCTGGCTGTGTGTGGTGGTGGTGGTTTTACTGTCTTGGGAGAATAGAAGTGGAGGAAAGGGGAGGACGTACTCGCTGGAGGGTGGAGAATTCATCGTTCACGGCGTGCGAGAAACCAGGTTGTGAGGACGCTTCCGCATCTTCGTCTTCGGGGGTGGGAGTAGGGGTGTTGTCATCAGCCACCGGAGTCGCAGGGGTGGTGGTGGTATCGACTGTCTCTGCCACAGCCGCATCGACACTGCCAGGAACATCATCATCGCGGCGCCAGTTCTTGCAGTAGCAGGGGGCACCGAGTCGGTGGCAGGGGCAGACGATGTTATAGGGCCCATGCTTGCAGTGGCATTTGCCGTCCTTGGAGCACATCACCCCGTGGCAGGTCTGCACTCACTCCGCGTTAGTAGCACATTCTAATGGTCCAAGGCCAAGGTAAGAACTGACCGTAGGTTTGGACTCCATGAGCTCGCTGTCGCTGACGAGAGAAACACCGGGGACTGGGACTGCTGCACCGTCGACATCATCTGCAGCTTCATCCGCGGCAGGTGTAGCGCTCTCCACTTCATCGGTTGCAGTGCTGTTGACCGAGGTAACGTCCCGAGCCGCACGCCACGGTCCCTTGCACTGGCACTTCTCCCCGAGTCTCTCGCACCCACAACGGGCGACGACATCGCGTCCCTTGCACAGACACTGGAGCTTGTCCTTGCAGTTGCCGAGGCACTTGGTGCACTTGCCGTGGCATTGCTGTTTCTGAAAGACTATCAGATTGTGCCGTGGTTATGGGGATATAGAAGGGGGAGGGGGCTTACGCCTTTGTTCGAGAGGATGCTGATGGGTGACGTGTCTTCGTCGGATGAGCCGATGTCTTCAGAAGCGTCGTAAGAGGGGACATTGTCAGAGACGGCCGCATCAGAGGAGCCAGCATCAGAGATATCAGCACCATCAACACCGACATCAGTAACCGTACCCTCATCAACGACAGCATCCTCTGCGTCAGCCTCGATCACGTCCCTGGAAGCCAGCGCGTCACGCCCACAGCTGCACTTCTTGCCGGGGGTTTCACAGTAGCAATACACCCGGACGCTCTTGTGCCTGCAGAGACACATGTTCGAGGGGGAGCACATGCCCCAGCAGCCCTTCTGGTATAAGTTAGCTTTGTACATGAACATTTTCTCAAAGGCGGAAGTCATACAGGCTTGCGATTCGGGAAAGTATCGGCAGAGGAGGTACTAGTAGTCATCTCATCGAGACTGTTATCAGAGATACCAGTAGTCACCTCAACGAGACCGTTGTCAGAGGTATCATCACCCAAGTCAGAAACAGCAGTGACAAATCCATTTCCAGGGGCCTGGGACGCGTTATCGTCGTCACCAGGAGTAACAACATCGGAAACAAGACCATAAGAGGTGGCCAGGACAGTCTGCATAAACAGACCAAAGAAGAGTAGGAGTATGAATTTGAAGGAGAGCATCTTGAAGGAAAGACTGAGTGTATCAGATGGAAAGGATCGAAAGAGAGGATCGATGATGGATGGTGATGATGAAGGAGAGACGAGAAGAGGAGGATGGATGAAAGAGAGAGAGGGTGGTGAGGAAGAAAGAAGGAGGGGGATCGGTGGTGATAGAGGCCATATTTATAGCCCAGTCCGTGAGGATCTAGAGAATCAGTGAATGAATGATGAAGAGATTGCCGGCCGGATTTGGTACGTTAAGCGAGTTTTACAGTGAATGATGCTAGATTTTGATATCCGGCACGCGTTGTTTGCACTTTCTTCCACGGTGTGTCAGAGAAAAGTCTTTCAGCTGATATGGGCCATGAGTTGGACCTGCAGGGTGGGACACTGAAGCACAGAAGACGATGGATGGCCTATCGAAGTCGACCTAACTGCGCTGTGGTGTTTCTCTCCAGGATATCGTCAAGAGTAAACCCGAGAGCTACTTTTCTTTAGTGAGTATGGATCAAGACTGGAAGGCAAAGCAGGCAGAACACTTATGAGGTGTCGTCTAATAGCTATAGCTTGTCTAGACGACTATCATGCGCACCATACTGAAACACAGTCTTCTAGGTTACATCTCCGTCTATCTCCAAGCGTTTGCGAACAACCATCCAAATGATTCATTAACGCTGACAACTTCGCACTCTGTCCAGTATCATGCTCTTCGATACACCCTGTCGGAATGGACCGCCAATCGGGTACTTCCTAAGGCTCCGGTTGCCTTCGATATAGATGCTCAATCGCAAGATGGCTTTTTTCCCAGGTAGCATGAGATCGGTGGATTGAACGTATATGACAGGGGATACGATTAATTGGACATGTCAACTTAGTCTTCGAACAGGGTGATTCTCGGAAGTAATGATACTGTAGTCATCCTGTTCTCTGTTCTTTTAGAGTTTTCTACAACACATAATATTCTCAGACGAATGAACTAATTATTTCTGGACTGTTGTTCGTAGGCTCGAAGCCTTAAGCAATAACGGTATGAAATGTTATTTGAAGTTCAAAGAAGGCAGTTCCAGGACTTTACCTAGGTCTTCATAGAACTTATCCATAGTATGCGGTCCGATACCGTACGTTGAAAAGGATACAACTTTCCGCAAAGAATACCCTTTTGTGCAGTGTACCAGGAAGCAGGTATACACACCACAACCAAGGGCAAATTCACTACCTCGTATGAAATCATACCAACCGACCCTCACTTCCCACTCTATCAATATAACTAACTTGCCCCATCCAGGGCCACCTGGGTTGACTGCCCGAGACGGTGTCCATCTCTGATGTATGTATATCCACCACGGAAAACAAACAAGGACCGTGCCATTCCCATGTAGCCATCTGAGGGGAAGCATGCACGGCTTTGCAGCTAGTCTGGCGCAGCTAAACCAGTCTCGAGACCTCAACAGTAACGAGATTCTTGTTCTGGGGCAAAAGCACGGGGGCAAATTGCGGGGTTGCGTGGGATTTTCGTGCTCTGGCGGCCTAATTAAGCCGAGCTTTTGCGGGACGAACGGGACGAACGGGACGAAACATATTATCCCCGCATATCTCAGGGCTTCTTTTGCACCATGAGGTGAATTTGATATGAGGACCGCGTAATAACTTAACCACCTGGCTCGGACAGAATCCATCGGGGTTCACAAAGCCGGATCATAAGTAGTCTCCCCCCTCCTCCCCAGCCCATGTATTGCGCTTTGCTTCGTGGACCAAAGAAAGATAACCAGGGATATTCACAATGAACAGGTATCTTCGAGCGCTTCTCCCCCTACTTCTGAGTAGTGGAACCGCCCATGCTACTCTTGACTGTGACTGGGATGCTGTAAACTCCCTCCTACCACCAAATGTCAGCCTCTCTTTTGTGACCGCGATTCCCGAGAACGGCACCTTCACAGTGCCCCGAGGGGATACGGGTTGGCCAACCGACCCGATCAATCTCCCCAGTCTCTGCGCAATTGGTGCCACCGTGTTGGGAGACACAGCCAACGCTAGCTTTGGCCTCGGTCTTTTCCTTCCCTCCCAATGGAATGGTCGTACGCTGTGAGTGGGCCAACCCTGAACTCATGTTCCCCCTTCCCTCTCCCGCACCTTTCAACACCATATAGGTACTCTACAGTACGATTTGACGTGTAACCTCTTCACACGCAGGACCGTTGGAAATGGAGGCTTGGCGGGAGGAGTGACTTGGGTGGACATGGTACGGAAATCACCCAGCACAGAATCCCAGCCCGTATCATCCCTCACAAATAACCTCCCGAGGGAGATAGGGCACCGGGGTGAAATATGGCCACGCCGTCTTCTCCACGGACACTGGTCACAACAGTACCGCAACCGATGCAAGTTGGGCGTTTCAAAACCCGGAATCGCAGGTCAATTGGGGGTGGCGGGCCTTGCACGAGACGGTGATATACGGCAAGCAGATCACCGAGGCCTTCTACAGGACCAGGCCCTCGTTCCGTTCCACTACTGTCAAGGCTGTAGCACTGGTGGCCGCCAAGGGTTCAAAGAGACGGAAGCATTCCCGAGGGATTTTGACGGAATTATCGCAGGCGCGCCTGCGTGGTGGACGGTGAGTGCTATGTAACCTGATGAACATTGCCTTTCCCCTCCCTCGCCCGTCTCGTCGCTCCTCTCTCCCTCTGACGGCTTCCTCAAAATTAGTCCCATCAGCAAATATGGCAGTTCTGGGTGGGATATGTGAACTACATTTCGAACATCACCATGATTCCTACGAGCAAATTTGATGTCATCGGCAGGGAGGTGCTGCGGCAGTGTGATGGCCAGGACGGTCTCGTTGATGTGAGTCTCGACTTTTTCTTACACCTAACAGTACACAAGTCGAGGTACGAGTTCGGGTCACTGAAAAACATGCTTAGACGACCATCTCCGATCCTCTTGGATGCAACTTCAACCCCGAAACGCTGCTATGCTCCTCGGCCGTGACCGATCCCACCGATGCGGAATGTCTGACGGCCGCGCAGCTGCAGACCTTCGACACCCTCAGTCGAGATTTCCGGGCCACGAACTCGACCCTGGTCTTCTCGGCCTGGCTTCGCGGCTCGGAGCACTTCTGGACTCTGAACATCGACGGCGGGGGCGCCGAACATCATCGGACTCGGATACATCCAATACATGCTGGGGTTGGGGCCCGAGTGGGCGTGGCAATCGTTCAACGAGGATGTGATCCAACTCTCCGAGCGGCTCGATCCCGGGCAGGCCGATGCGTCGGCCTACAATCTGAGTGCCTTCTACCACGGGGGAGGCAAGCTGCTCCATTATCATGGCATGAGTGACGGTGGCATCGCCACGGGGGCCAGTTACTACCTCTACGAGCAGATCGATCGCACTCTCACCCCTCAGGGTGTACACGTGGATGACTTCTATCGCTTCTTTCCTATCCCTGGGATAGGGTCAGTGGGATTTTCCCCTTAAAACTTTGTCAAGGATCCTTTTCCCCAGGCCGGTAACTAACTTGCTCGTCGTTGAACAGGCATTGCCTTGACACCGCCCATTACGTGAACGCTCCGTACTACATCGCCGGGATCAGCATGACAACCAACGGGAAGTACTCGGTGCCGAACTTCCACGATGCGAAGCATGACGTCCTGCTGGCGCTGATGGAATGGGTCGAGAATGGCACGGCGCCGGACGCGATCATCGGGACCGCCTACGCCAATTTTACCACAATGGATGCCATCACGCGCCAACGGCCCATTTGTGCCCATCCCAAGCTGGCCCAGTATCAGGGACGCGGGGATCCCGATCGTCCGGAGAACTGGAGGTGCCAGGCACTGGGTTCTTAGAGGAGAGAGAGAGAGAGGATGGTCTCTTGCAAGGTTCACCATTGTTGAAGGTCGGAACATAACACATTTGGGCGTATAAGTGTTAGCTTGCTAACAACTTTGGTCATAAAAGCCCAGAGATGAAGACCGTGGCCTGAAGAATGACATCTGTCAGTCTGTAAGCATCAAAATCGTGCTTCAAACTCAATTGAACCTTGGGATTTTTGAACCGTTCCCTTCACCCGAGTATTCAACTCTTCGCCAATCTGAAGTCAATTGAACTTAGTTGTAATCTAGGTGGCCAGGGTGGAGTGGTCATGTCATGGGTATAGTTGTAGTCCACTTTCCTTCGATCCAAGCCTATAGCAGACATCTTCTCGGGGTCGTGTTGTTTCAAGCCTCGAATGATGATTAAAAAGTATAAACTATAGATATATCAACTATATCAAGCAACTCACGCAAGCCATAGACCATCTCCATATTAGCTATGACCAGACCAGAAAAATTAGGCGATCAAATCATAGTACATTTCGAGGGTAGCCCGCATGGACCCTCTTTCTTTGCTGGCTGAGCTGCCTGAGCACTCCCACCACCACCACTACCCCCCTGCTGCACAATCCCCTCCGGCTGCGTCGCCTTCGCCGAATCCCCCTGCTGCCCCGCAGAAGTCACAGGGGCCTCCGCCTTAGCCGAACTATCATGTAGTCATGCGAAATTCACACGGGAGAGATGCTCGTAGAACGACTTCCCCTGCGTCTCGGCAATCTGGAGCTCCAACGCCGTCGGCTGGCGGGACCCATCGGCGCCCTAAATGCCATCAACAAGAATCAGCACACAATTCCCAAAGACCCCCTACCACACACACACACCCCCCTCTCAACCCCAACCAACCAACAAACCAACCAACCAAGAAAGAAAAAAAAAAAAAAGACATACCGCAAAAGTCCCCGCCCCCCACGCGGACCCGCCATGGATCTCCTCCAGATTCGCCAGCAGCGGGAAGGCCGTCTTGTAGCCGAGCGGCACGTACAGGAACCCGTGGTGGGCGAGGGTGCTCATGGCGGCGATGGCGGTCGACTCCTGGCCGCCGCCCAGCGTGCCCGTCGAGACGAAGAGGCCCGCGTACTTGCCGTAGAACCCGCCGGTCGCCCAGATGCCGCCGGTGCGGTCCCAGAAGGCCTTGAACTGCGCGGGGAAGTTGCCGTAGCGCGTGGGGATGCCGAAGAGCGCCGCGTCGTAGTCGAGGAGCTGCTCCGGTTTCTCGAGGATGGGGACGGCGGTGGATTTGGGCGGTGCGTGCATCTTGGCTAGGACCTCGTCGGGGAGGGTTTCTTTGATTCTGGAGCGGGTGTTAGGTTTGGGGGGGGGGGGGTGGGGGTGGGTGGAATGGGGGCAAGGGGCATGGGGCATGGGGCTTGAGGAGGGGGGAATCGTGGACGTGGTGTTTTGTGGGTGGTAGGGGCATGCTTACTGGTAGAGGTCGGCGGTGCCGCCTGCGGATTGGATACCCTTGAGCTCGGCTTGGGCGAGTTTCTCGATGTGGCCGTACATCGAGTACTGGAATCATCATATTCAGTGATTATTTGAGGTGTGGTTGATGGGAGAAGCCATTGGTGAGCAAGAAAGGGGACCATACATAGACGATGGCAATTCGGGGCGCCATGGTGAGGAGCTTATCTCTGCGAGAGAGAGAGAGGATCGAGGTAATAGACGTGGGGTAAAATCGAGAATGAAGTGGAGGTGGGAATCAATTCACAAATATGTACGGATGTTCTAACTCCTGGGGGCTTCCATCCATGTTAGTGTACATATAGTGGTGAGTAGTGATATCATGTCAATCATCACAGGGCGGGGTTGTGGGTGGTGTACATGTACTGCACTCCGCACTCCTGCCCCAGGGCGCTCCAACGTGATCTTTTTTTCAAATTCAATGCTTGGTTCCGAGTCACTGGTCCAGCGTCTGGGTCAGATTGTGTGCGTGAGGGCCCTCGTTGCAGCATCGGGAGGGTCCGGCAGTCGAGAACGGACCACAGAATTCACAGAATTTGGGAAGACGTCCTTTCGAGGACGTCACGCTCTTCTGTCTTGGGGCTACGGGCTGGGCCATAATCAGGCTGGATCTAAGCTACATCTATGATGCTGCAGAGGATCTCCATGACGTGGATATCTGCCAAACTGGTGAACCATGGGTCGTGCAGGTTGCATTTGAGGGCCGGTTCCGTGGACTGCGGGTTCCCCTCGGGAATCGTACCACCATCGCACAATTGAGCAACAACCTTTGACCAAGGGGTGGCAAAGGAACAAAAGGACAGAAAAGATGCGGCCTAGAAAGAAATTCTAGAATGAAAAGAAAATATCTACAGCGACATTGCTATGGTCGTCGTAGTATAGGTCGACTGATCCGTGCTGCCGCAATTGCTTTGAGGGGAGACGGCTAGACCCTACCCACGTTCTCACTTCAAATTTATGTTCTAATTCATGAGACGAATGTTCTAATCATTGTAGCAGAAGCAGGTTGAGATCTGCTTGACTTGATAGTCATCCATGGCAATTTGCCGCCATGCCCACGCCTAGATCGCATGAGCGTGTCTCACCTTCCCCTGCACTACTCATTTATACAATATACAACTAAGACATGGATATTTCAGTCATTTCAGTCAGAAACTGCATGCTTGTAACGATAGCAGACAGGTATGTATGATTGCAGCACTTTTTGGCTCGTGGGCTATACTCATAATAAAATAGGCTTGATGCGATAACAGATACCATCTCGTAATCAAGAATATATAAACCAGTGAGACTGGGGAGAAGCATAGACAAAGATACGCGTACTATTTTCTTCGGGCGCTGTGATACGAAAGCGTAGAAAAGGCCCAAATGATGTAGTGGGGAGCTGTTCCTTCCACTTGCATACTTTCCCCCCATTACCAACCGATGGTTGTGAGTTTGTTACGCATGCTGATTGATCCTGTTATCCCGCAACTTCCCACTAGTCCAGAATGTAGTGTAGAACATTCTAGGATCTTTTGACTAATTTATTTGGTTTTTGCAACCGGCGCTGTGCGCTCGGAAACCTCAATTTTCGGCATGCCGATACACTCACAACAAACGTGGCCCGAGAAATCGGCATGCCGTGCGGGATTTACACCGGTGTCCCGTCTTGGCCCGAAGACCCTGAGTGATTAATCTTTGACTAAGAACCTCGTAAATCAGTCTGTCAGGATGAGCAATCACGACCGGAGACTCTAGATTGGCCAGGTATCATTTCCAGGATCCACTCTTATACGGGGCGTTCCGCGCGGTTGATATTGTTAAGGCTTGATTCAGCAAATGGTCAGTCTTACCAAGCGTGAAGGATGACATTCCGGAGGTGGTGCCTGGTGCCTGCAGATGAGCTTGATAAGCACCCTCGTGCATGTTAGGCACGTGGTCGGGCTCGGGGTTTGTGTATAAAGAGACAGATCTTGACGTCTGATCATGGTGTGTGTCTGTCCATCATCACCTCAATCTACCGCCAGGATGCTTCTTCCCTCTCTTGCTCTTGCGGCCTTCTCGCTAGGCGCGGCGGCCAAGTCCCATACTGGCTCGCCCGCTCACTATGACTTCGTCATTGTCGGTGGAGGCACCAGCGGCTTGGTGGTGGCCAACCGCCTCTCGGAGATGAGCAATGTCACGGTGGCGGTCATCGAGGCCGGCGAGTCCGCGTTGAACAACTTCAACGTGTCGAATGTTATGGGCTACAGCACCGCATTTGGTACGCAGGTTGACTGGGCCTACCAAACTGAAAACCAGACCTACGCAGGGGGTCTGCAGCAGACGATCCGTGCTGGAAAGGCTCTTGGGGGTACCAGCACTATCAATGGTAGGCTTGTCTTCTTTCCTTCCAACGCAAACCCAAGCCAGAAAAAAAAACCATGCTGTGTACTGACCAGCTCTCCCGCGCAGGAATGTCCTACACCCGAGCCCAGGACGTGCAGATCGATCTCTGGGAGAAGTTCGGAAACGAAGGTTGGAACTGGGAGACCCTGTTGCAGTACTACAAGAAATCGGAGGGCTTCCAAGTGCCCACCAAGGACCAGATTGCCCACGGAGCCAGTTACAACGCCAGCTATCATGGCCTGCACGGCCCTCTGAAGGTCGGTTGGCCCACCTCCATGACCAACAGCAGCGTCTTCCCCGTCCTGGAGCAGACCTTTGCGAAGCTGGGCGTTGAGTACAACCCAGACTCGGAGGGAGGTCAGATGGTCGGATTCACCGTCCATCCTGACACCCTGGACCGGGAGATGAACGTTCGCGAAGACGCCGCCCGCGCCTACTACTGGCCCTACGAAGCCCGCTCGAACTTGAAGATCATCTCCAACACGCGCGCGAACAAGGTCATCTGGGCCAACACCACCCAAAGCGAGGAGGCTGTGGCCGTGGGAGTCGAGATCACCAACGAGTACGGCACGCAGACGATCTACGCAGACAAGGAGGTCATTCTATCGGCCGGTGCGCTGCGCTCGCCCGCCATTCTCGAGCTGTCGGGCGTGGGCAACCCGGCCCTCCTCAGCAAGCACAACATCCCCGTCAAGGTCAACCTGACCACCGTCGGCGAGAACCTGCAGGACCAGACCAACAACGGCCTCACCTGGGACGGCGTCGACACCCTGACTGGCCTGGCCACCTTCTCCGTCCTGCCCTCGGTCAACCAGCTGTACGGCGAGGACAACGCCACGGCGCTGGCTACCTACGTCAAGTCCCAGCTCGCCAGCTACGCGCAGACCGTCGCCAACGCCTCGCACGGGGCCGTCCAGGCCGCCAATCTCCTGGAGGCGTTCGAGCGCCAGTACGATCTGATCTTCGAGGCGCAGGTGCCCTACACGGAGGTCGTATTTGCCCCAAGCGGGCAGTCCTTCGCCATCGAGTACTGGCCCCTGCTCCCGTTCTCCCGCGGCAGCGTCCACATTCAGTCCGCCAACGCCTCCGACCTCCCTGCCATCAACCCCAATTACTTCATGTTCGCCCAGGACGCCGAGGCACAGGTCACGGTGGCGCAGTACATCCGCAAGGCGTTGGGGACCGCCCCGCTGAGCGGGCTGGTGGGCGAGGAGGTCTCCCCGGGCCTCCAGATGCTTCCGGCCAATGCAACCAGCGCTACGTGGACCAAGTGGATTGAGTCAACCTGTAAGATTTCCGTCCTTTCACATCTCTCCTCCTTTGGATGATGGCGATAAGCATAACCTGCAGCAGTCACCGCTAACCTGACAATGAAATCAGACCGCACCAACTACCACCCCGTCGGCACGAACAGCATGCTGCCCCGCGAGAAGGGCGGCGTCGTCAGCCCCGAGCTCAAGGTCTATGGCACCCGGAACCTCCGCGTGGTCGATGCCTCCATCCTCCCCTTCCAGCTCTGCGGGCATTTGACCAGCACTCTGTATGCGGTCGCCGAGCGGGCTTCCGATATCATTAAGGCAAGCTACTAGACTGAGGAGGTGCAGCAGTGCCAGGACTAGATTGTCCGATTGTTTCGCAGCGCGGAACGGCAAGATCCGTGAAGCATTGAATTGTATTTCCAATTTCAGTGGTCTGGCATGTAACCGATAGGGTTTGAAGCATCGCGCAATGTAAAAGTAGATAGAGGGAAGGGTTGGCTTTGACCCTTCTGGAAAAGAATAGCATAGCATAGATAGATAGATTCAATAGACTAATTCCTTCATTTCCCACTCCTTTGGGGAATACTAAGATACCCTTTTCGTATGATTCTATGCCATCTCAACTTTGTGATAGGGCGGATACCTAGTAAGAAATTATGGATTTCTAATGTGTGAATGGTGCTCTCCGAGATCGCTACACCGATGGTTAATTCACACTTCGGGCTGACGAACGAAGATTATCCTCATGCAAAAGAACATGCATAGAGATATTTGGAATAAGACGCAATTTCTCATTTCTACTACCTAGATAGGAATTTATGGATCAGAGTTTGGGTCGTTCCGAGTACTCCCAAGACAGTCGCCAGGACTTCGCACGCGGCGTTAGCTCCACCTCACCGATGAGAGAGACAAACCCGCCCGGACCGAGCTTGGTGATCCAGATCAAGAGTCAAAAAAGCTTTAACCAGGGTCCAGATACCGCCACTCTGATGCATTGATGTCACGACCGCCCATCCAACGGATACAATTACTGGTGCGCCCCCTCGCCTCCTCAGCGTGAGTTTCGGCGACGTCATGCGGATTTACGCCCGGCTATACGGATATAGTCACGAAGCTTCACGGGACTTTATAACACGGGCGTCTACTTTGGTAAATGACCGCAAATCCACACCAGGATCAATGTCTTAACTGGCTGGACTGCACACAATCGCCATGATCGAAACGATCCGCGACACCGGGTTTGGCAAGCTGGTGCGTCTGTTCAGCGGCGGCCAGCTTCTGCGCTTCCCCGAGGAAGAAGACCCCTCCATCTGGACCACATACGTCAAAACCTCGGAGGAGACCAAACCCGCGCAATCTGAGATATCGGGCTCGGAGTACGATAGCTATGAAGAAGACCTCGAAGCCTATGGTTTGTACACGGTTATGTCGCAGGCGTCCCGCGTGGGGAGAAGGACGTCCACTGTCACCTCCGCCCCGGCACTGCCCTCATCGGCACAGCGCGGCAGCCCTACCATCATCACTTGGGCGCCGGATGACCCCGAGGTATGGATGCCTTCATACATCACTCTACCCCTAGCACTGAGCCCCTTGCTAATAATACGAACAGAACCCCCAAAACTGGAGCATCCCCAAGAAACTCCTGGTTAGCTCGCAGATCTGGCTCCTCACCTTCGCCATCTACATCGGCTCCGCCATCTACTCGCCGGGAATCCCCTCGGCGGCGCAGCACTTCGGGATCAGCAGCGTGGCCGCGACGCTGGGGCTGACGCTCTTCGTGCTGGGGTACGGGGTGGGCCCGATGCTGCTGTCGCCTCTGTCCGAGCTCCCCGCCGTGGGCCGCAGCCCCACCTACGTGCTGACGCTGGTGGTCTTCGTCTTCTTCAACTTCGGGGTCATCTACGCCCGCAACCTGGGCATGTTCTTGGCCTTTCGGTTTCTGACGGGGTTCTTCGGCTCACCCGCGCTCGCCACGGGCGGCGCCTCGATGGGCGATATCTGGAGTCCGCGGGCCCGCGACTATATGATCGCCGTATGGGGGTGCTTCGCCATCTCGGCGCCCGTGCTGGGGCCGTTGGTGGGCGGGTTCGCGGCCGCCGCGAAGGGGTGGACCTGGACAATCTGGCCGCTGATGTGGGTGTCCGGGTTTACGTTGGTGGTGCTGTTCGTGGGCCTGCCGGAGACGTACGCGCCCAATATCCTCTCGCGGCGGGCGGCGCGCGTGCGCAAAATTACCGGGGATGCGGACTGTGTGTCTGAGTCGGAGCTGGAGTTGCGGAGGGTGAGCAAGAAGGTGAGCCTAATTCCTCCCTCTAGATCAGAGACAAGTCGAATCAGACCGTGACGCATCACACCCGGAAGCAATCTCTAATGGCATGGTGATGCGGGAACAACAGGACCTCCTCTTCGAAGCCCTAATCCGCCCCTTCCAACTCAGCTTCCTCGAGCCCATCGTCTTCCTCCTCAACCTCTACATCTCTTTGATTTACGGAATCCTCTACATCTGGTTCGAAGCCTTCCCCATCATCTTCGAAGACCTCCACGGCTTCAACGCCGGCCAAAACGGCCTCGCCTTCCTAGGCATTCTAGTCGGCACAATCTGCCTCGCCATCCCGGGCTACTTCTACTGGAAATCCCACTACCAGATCCGCTACCTCGATCGCAACGGCAACCTGCCCCCGGAGGCCCAGCTCCCCTCCGCCTGCGTCGGCGCCGTCTGTCTGGCCTTCTCCCTGTTCTGGTTCGGCTGGACCGGCAACTTCGCGAGTGTGCACTGGATTGTACCCATCCTCGCGTCCGGGCTGTTCTCGGTGGGCGGGTGTCTGATTTTCAATAGCATCTTCACGTACGAGGCGCACGCGTACCCCACGTACGCGGCCTCGGTGCTGGCGGGGAACGACTTTATGCGGTCGAGCTTCGGGGCGGCGTTCCCGCTGTTCGCGACGGCCATGTTTCGCAATCTGGGGGTTGGGTGGGCGTGTACGCTGCTCGGGTGTTTGGCTGTGTTGTTTGTGCCGTATCCGTTTGTGCTGCTCAGGTTTGGGAGGCGGTTGAGGTTGGCGAGTCGGTTCGCGAGGCATGATATTTGAAGTCCTTGCTTTTCAGGGCGGGGGGGGGTTGGGAGGTTGGGGGCGGTGGGTCTACCTATCGATCCTGTTGACATCCCCCATTGCTCTCTTGTTCGCGACACTACATCCCTGTCGCAGGAAGGGCCGTCCTTCAATCCTTATACTGGGTGGAAGAGTGGGTAAAAGAGACCCAGAGCAGCAAAAGAGCCTTCGGGAGTTGGACTCAACAGGATACTCCTGCCCTTTTTCTGCTCTAATGTATAATCAGAGGGCACCGTCTTGGATAGTCTACGGTGGGTTTTGAGGCCATGAAGCACAAGTAACTAGGGTTGCGGGGTACTTGCATACTGCATCAGCCATTGCGTAGCATACCAGCCATCATCATGACTATGCTCCTACCAACTGAGACCAAGGCAATTGGACGAGAATGACTAGAGTACTCCAGGGAAGGGAAAGGTCTCTGCTGATCTCGATTTGAGAGTTCCATCGCTTGGCGATAATCTTCACAATGCCACAGTCACATAGACTCCGGCTAGGTAGCTACGTAGGTAGGGTGGTAAACCTACCTCGGATGGCTAAAGTGGATAAAATGAAGAACTGCAACCTCGAGGCTGTCTAATTCAATGGCATGTGAAGTCCAACAGGGTAGCTAGCGGGTCTTCTGAAGGACCATTCAACGGTTTATTTTCCCCGGGGGATTCCGGCAGAAGTGTCTAGCTTCTGCGACTCTTTTTGCGGGGAACCTCATATGCAGAAGCTCGAACTCCGTTGGGGGAGGGGGGTGCTTATTGGCGAACCAGCCCCAGACCATTCAAAATGAGGACCCTTGTTTCACTACAAGACTGCAGGGTCCAGGTCGGAAACAGAGTGATAATCCTCATACTATGCCTGTACGCCAAGTGAGCGCCAAAGTCTTCCAAGGCTGAAGTGGGGACCCCCCCCCGTGGCGCTTCGTTTCGGCAGTTGTGGACGCTTGATAATTACCGTTGTTAATTACCCCGATGCACTAGCGCTGCAGTCAAGGCTGATCGCTTGCTGTTGCCGAGACGCCCCGGTGGAAGGTGAGTAACTTGGTAGCTGTGATTGGCCTCTTCCCTAATGTGCCGCGGACCCTGAATAAATGCCGATATGGCTTGGGGGAATCCCCAGACACTTCATTTATGGACAGCCACACGCGGCTGGTATCTGCATGATTTCGTGTTTCTAATCAGTCCGGGTAGCAGACACAGGATTGTAGAGTATCGTATTCAATTTACAGCTGTCGAAAGGTGCTTTTTCAGGGGTGAGGCGATGTTACAATGTAGAGCGCTTGCGGGCATATCACAATGAGCACTTATAGTGTGGGTGATTGCTGTTGCTTAGATCAAAGGGGTGGAAACCAGGGGGTGATAGCGTAGCTTAGAGTAAGATTGTGGCAGACAACGCGATTCTACTGGTCCGCCCTCAGGATTGCGGGTGAAATAATCTTGTATAAATAAAACGATGCTCACCATTGATCAATAAGAGAAGAGAAAGATTCAGCAACATAACGATGACTTCAGGTGAAAATACAAAAAAAGCAACCCGCAAGCCCCGAGTATTCATCCTACGATCACGACGACATTCCAGTCACTGGATTCACCGAGATTAAGCTGCGAGCTTTACCAGTGATAGAGACGACCACTAGAGAGCGTTCGCAATAGCGGTATAAGCAGCCTTGGGGTTGTAGTTGCTGTCGAAGAGCAGAGGGCTGGAGCTGGAGCGCCACGAGTCCTAAAAGAGAGATTCCGGTATTAGTATGCCACGTATTTCTTGTGATTCCGACCGGAGACAGGCACTTACGGGGTCAGCAACTCCCCAGACGGTGATACCGACGCACTTGGGCTGGTTCAGACACGCCTTGACGACCTAGATCTGTGTCAGTAAAATTGATCGTGTCACTTGCAGTGATGTAACTCACGTTCACGTAGTCGGTGGAGCTGGCGCCAGCGATGTCGAGCTCGGTAATAGCGACCTCCTTGGTGCCTGCACCAGCGAGAGCGTTGAGAGCTGTAAAGGACTGTCAGTTGTGCTGTAGTGCGAGACCAACGAATGGGGGGTACTTATCCTGAGACGGCAGCACCGGCACCCGCGCTCAGGTGGGTTTGGGAACCTGTTGTGAATAACATGTTAGATCGTATACACGCTGGCCTTCAATTTCGAATGTCGTGCGACTTACCAATTCCGTCGATGGGGACGCCAGCTGCGACCCACTTCTTGACGTGGTTGACCAGGCCGGTCAATTTCGGGTACGAGGCGGAATCCAGGCTACGGCGGGGTTAGAATCAGGGCTAGAATGCAAGGCATGAGACGAGAATCGAGAAGAATGACTTACTTGTAGTCGTTTATGTAAAGCTTGGCGTTGGGATCCACCGCGCGAGCGGTCTCGAAAGCGATGCGCACATAGTCCTCACCGATGACGTTGTAGAAGTGGCTCTGGCGAAGAGAGCCATCCTCGTTGAAGATCTCATTGACAACGTCCTTGCTTCGATTAGAAGGCGTCATGACTTGAAAGATCGCCATTTGGGGATGGCTTACCCAGGCGTAGACCTTGCCCTTGTAGCGCTGCATCACGGTGGTGATGTGATTCTGCATGACTTGGATCAGGGTGTTCTTATCGGAGATGGACTGCACCCAGGACGGAAGCTGTGAGTGCCAGACTGGTCGAGTTTAGTTGGCTTCTCAAGTATGGACTGTAGTACTGGGTCAATCGTACCGAGAGTGTGGCCACGGATCAGCTTTCCGTTAGACTGGGCGAAGTTGACCTGGAGGATGTAAGACTCGAGTGCACCTCTCGGCTTTTGTGAAGGATACATACCAGGTAATCCGACCCCGAGAAGGAGAACTGTCCTCGGTTGGCTATGCGCTGATCAGAATCAAATCACACTCGTTTCCTGCAAGGTCTGTGCTCACGCTCAGTAGCATCCCACTTCATGCTGTTCTCCGGAGTCAGCTGGCCAAAGTCGGCCTTGATGATCGCCGGGGTCTTTGCGTTCTTGTTGAGAGTGTACTGGTCGCCGATGGTGCCCAGGTACTTCTTGCCGTGCGCCTTGAATTTGGCATCGATGCTCACTGAGGCCTGGCGGGGCTCGATGGGGCTGGAGAGCACATTACTGGCGAAAAGGACAGCCAGAGCAGCTGCTTTGATTTGAACCATGTTGGAAAGAAGGGATGACTGCTCTTGAGCTTGAGGAATGAATTAAATGAATGAATGAATGTTGATGTTGATGTTGATGGAACGAGAGATGGGAATCGCAGCATCTACGTGGGAATGGAGCAGTATTTGTAGACAGAACGACTCAGCATCTGAAGGATACAAAGCTGATGCTCGAGGTCTAGCTGCTTGACCGGTGGAGTATCCCAATTGAGAACGGATATTGCATTGTTTCCCTTATTCAGATATCTACTTCATTGCTCGTAGGCGAGAAATGATACTTCGAATGGCGATTAGCCTGAACGGGTGAATGAAGAGGTTTAGGCTGGCTAGACCGAAACGCCAAGCTTGCTCACCGGAATTATGAAGGCCTACAGGGGTGGGGTCCGATGTTGCACGGTTGTCCTCATAGCCTACCGATGGTTGCCCATCAGGGTCCAGGGTCTACCTCGGTTCCAGAGATAACTTGATCTTGAATAAATTGTATGCGGGAATAGCCGATGCCAAGCATTTCCTGCGGAGACCTTTCGTTTTGAAGGGGGATTTGGTGGGTTATACACTGGGGATCTGCCACACTCCGGAGTCCGAAGGAGTCCCAAGGAGGTCAGCCAGAGACCACTGATATTTGGTCATTCATGAACCTCCATCAATGCTTACAGATACAATGGCAACTACAGCTGACCTTCATGCTGACAGGTGTCAATGATGTGGTCACTAGCAGTAAGGAGTTGAAGTTTAAATTGTTTTGGCATGAAACCCTCATCTCGGGGCAGTGTATCAGCCTAGAACCAATTGGCTTGGCACCCCACAACGATACACGTCTAGACTCGCGTGTACTTGCCAGGCAGTAACATGCTTCGGCAGCTGGTCCATGAAGCAATGCCGAAGCACATTATGCCACTATGATCTAACGGCTATCTTGGTGTGATGCTATTTTAAACCTCCGTTCTGATCAGGGCAATGGTCCGGTGGACAGGTGATTCTGGCTGATGTAGTTTAGGCGCCAGTGTGAGCTGGTGACTGCAACATACTTGGTGAGTTAGAATCAGACAACAAAAGAACCCTGCTTTTATCCGAAACACCTAGGCTTGTCTAGCGAGCGCAAAACCAAGACATTGCCCTGGACAAATTACGAATTCCTTTAGCCAGATTCGAAGGTATATCAACTGTGGTGCGGCCCTCTATCCATCACTTGTCTTTTGTACCCCAAGTCTTTCAATACCACCTCTTTATCTCTCCTTCTCTGCTGCAGAAGAGATCCCACCAACATGAAATTCCTCAAGGCCAAAGCTGGTCTGCTGTCGTCCGGCATCTGCCTTCTTGTCTCTGCACCCTTTGCCTCCGCAAGCTGCCCTCTTCCTTCTACCTACTCCTGGACCTCAACCGGAGCTCTCGCAACTCCGAAGTCGGGATGGACCAGCCTGAAAGACTTCACTGATGTTGTTTGGAATGGCAAGCACATCGTCTATGCATCAACCACCGATACCAAAGGTAGCTACGGGTCGATGACCTTCAGTCCATTCTCCAACTGGGCGGACATGGCTCAAGCCAGCCAAATCGCCACGAGCTTCGGTGCCGTGGCCCCCACCTTGTTCTACTTCCAGCCCAAGAACATCTGGGTGCTCGCCACCCAGTGGGGGTCCAGCACTTTCACCTACCGCACCTCCACCGACCCCACCAACGTCAACAGCTGGTCCGCAGAGCAGCCCCTATTCTCGGGCCAGATCGGTAGCGGAGAAAGTTCCGGCACGGGCGCCATCGACCAGACCGTGATCGGGGACGCCACAAACATGTATCTCTTCTTCGCCGGCGACAACGGCAAGATCTACCGGGCCAGCATGCCCATCGGCAACTTCCCTGGGAACTTCGGCACGCAGTACGAGGTGGTGCTCAGTGGCGCCCGGAACGATATCTTCGAGGCGGTCCAGGTGTACACTGTCCAGGGCGGCCAGGGCCAGAGCAAGTACCTGATGATCGTCGAGGCGATCGGCTCGACTGGGCGTCGGTACTTCCGGTCCTTCACGGCCAGCAGTCTCGGCGGGGCGTGGACGCCCCAGGCGGCCAGCGAGAACCAGCCCTTCGCGGGCAAGGCCAACAGTGGTGCCACCTGGACTCAGGACATTAGTCACGGCGACTTAGTGCGCAACAACCCGGACCAGACGATGACTGTCGATCCTTGTAACCTCCAGTTGCTCTATCAGGGCAAGGACCCCAACAGCAGTGGCGACTACAACACGCAACCGTGGCGGCCGGGTGTGCTCACTCTGAAGCACTGAAGGGGTCGGCTTGGATGGATTGACGGATCAGACTTTCGGGATGGGGACGATGTGAGATGTGAGATGCTCCTATAGCCAAGGTCATGTGGCACGGCATGCCCTAGTTACTCCTTATGTATGCCCAACCCCTACGAGAAATCTCTCCAGTTACCACGGAACCATTACCATCTCTTGAGCCTAAGGTAGTCAGCATCATCCGCTGAGTAGCTCCGAACTTAGTCTTTCACCTTTTGGCATGTCCTCGACCCTAACATGGAGACCTCCACCTCCTTCAACCACGTAAATTTACCCGCTGTGCTTGTAGTTCATCATGTGCCTAGGCGGGATAGGCAAGGGCTGGCAGCAACATCCCTCAGCTACTCGCTCACTCTGGTGACACGCGTGTACCAGCATGGTGACAATCTGATGTTTGGAGCAGTGACTGGGGTCCAGGCGAGAGAATATACGGAGTAAGCACTATAGCAAGCCGACCCGCACCGGAGCTGTGAGATGAAGCAAAATTTCGCGCTAATGCAGAAGCAGCCACTCAAATCATTGCACTGGTGCTCCACCATAAGCGGAAGATCGAATCAGAGTTAAGCTTGGGCGGTACCATCCGTTAGTCTAGGAGACATAGTGCGTGCACTACGCAGTCACCAAAAAGTCAGTTATACTAGGCTGACGACCTGAGGGCATCGCCTCGATCACGAACAACAGCATTATAAACCCCTCGTCTGCATGCTGTCAACTCTCTCCCTCTGACTCTCAATTTCTTCTTCATCCCTCAAATCGTACCCAGTCCACCCTCAAATTCCCAAATCCAACCATGTCGCACCCCAAGAAACCCATCTTCGTCCTCATCCCAGGCGCGTCGCAGAACCCGTCCCACTACGCCCACCTCCTCCACCTCCTCCAATCCGCCGGCCACGGCACCTTCACGGGTCTTCTGCCCAGCATCAGCGCCACCGACCCCATCACCGCCGCCGACGACACCCACTACATCCGCCACCGCCTGCTCCTGCCCCTACTGGATGTAGCCCGGCAGGACGTAATCCTGATCAGCCACTCCTACAGCGGAATGCCCGCCAGCGCCGCCGCAGTGGGGCTTGCTCGCGCCGACCGCGCCGCGGAGGGCAAGTCCACGGCGGTGCTGGGCCAGATCTTCATCGCCAGCATCCTTCCCCGCGGCGGGGATGGGTCGAGCGTGATTGATGGGTTTGGGGGCCAGTTGCCGCCTCATATCCAGTTTGATGTATGCCCTCTCCCCTCCTCGCCTTGGCCTTGGCGTTGCTTATCCCTACTAGCAAGACTTTCTGACGTTGCGGCTGGCTCGACAAATATGTCTGTCTACGATTTATCTCGAATGAAACTGATAGGTGTCTGTCTGTGCTCTAGGAGAAAGAGAACCTCCTCAAATGCGCCGACCCTATCCCCCCGCTCTTCTACGACGTCGAGCCCGTCCTCGCTGCCGCGGCGGCCCAGTCCGCTCTCAGTCAGGGGTATACCTCGTTTGCGAGTCCGTGTCCGCAGGCGAGCTGGGCGACGGAGGCGTTTCGTGGACGCGTGGCATACATCCATACCCTGCAGGACCGCGCGGTGCCGTATGAGGCGCAGCGGGCGATGGTGGAGGCGACGGGGGTGGAGTGGGTGACGCGAGAGCTGGACACGGGGCATAGTCCGCAGATGTCGGCGGCGGAGGAGTTAGTGGGGGTGATTTTGGAGGTGGCCGGGTTGTGGGTGTAGTGTTTGGGAGGGGGATAAACTGGGGTGTATGGCGGATTTTGAGATCTGCTGGGTTGGGTTGTTGTTACTTGTGGTCGTTGGGAGGGGTATTCCGTGAATGTTTCTAAGGTCTGTGGGATAGGGGTGGAAACAACGAGGGCTATACGGTATTTATCACTGCAAGCAGATCTTTTTTCGGCCACATATATCTTATTATGCCGATCTTACAAGGCTCCTGTGGATGAGCTTACTAGAGATTGAGAACAGAAGGCTTGGCGCGTTACAAACTGAATTAAATAGAACCAGCATCTAATACATTCTTCCACTCAGTCTCAATAAGAGTTCGACGAGACGGGCTCCGCGGCCGAAACTCGGCTTTGAAGGGCCGTGGCCGCGAGCTGATCCCCTGCGTCATGGCAAATGGGTCTGGCGGCTCATTCCCCACATACTGAATATGAAACGCCCACAGCATGCGCGAAATGACAAGATTCAACGAGTTACGAGCCAGATGCTCGCCGGGACAAAGCCTTCGCCCCATTCCGAACGCACAGGTTGGCAAATCGGGGTTCTCGATCCACCTCTCCGGGAGGAAGCTGTGCGGATCCTGGAAGACGTCTTCATCGAAGTCCAGCGACCAGTGGTTCTGGATGACAGTCGTACCTCGCGGAATGCGATAGCCCATGTACTCGTCGTCCTGAGTTGTGCAATGGTGCAGACCCCCAGGAACGACGGGCCGCCAGCGCAGCACCTCTTCCACGAAAGCCTGAAGGTACGGAAGCCGGGGCATATCGTCCAGTGTCGGCATCCGCTGAAAACCCACCACTTTGTCTAGTTCAGCCTGCGCGCGCAGCACGGCCGGTCGCTGCAGCACTACCACCAGGATGAAGACTTCGAGCACAAAGGCCGTGGTGTCGCTGCCGGCCTCGTAGTTGACTCCGACGACGTGGGCCATCTCGTTCTCGCTGAATGCCGACTCGGGCCATCGGGCGCAGGCGAGGTCGCGGATGGTACGACTCCATGTCTTTGTTTGTGTCGTTTGGAGCGCCCTCAGCATGTGGTGTGTGAAGAACCGCGCCTGGCTGTCCTGTAGTCGGGCGGCGCTTCTTCTCCACGGTGCCAGCCAGTCTGGCAGATGGTCCAGGATAGGGAACGCCACCCCTGGCAGGCACACCTCGCCCAGGAGCTCGCGCATGATGTGATCTATTTCTTTCACCTCTGGCTCATCCCCGCGCTCCAGTCGGCGCCCATACGCCAATGCAAAAGTCAAACTTGCGGCGAAGCGGTGGATTCGCCCCGCAAAGTCGTCGGTCCAGAGCAGCTCCCATAGTAGCTGCTTGCACTCGAGGTCCTGGAGACTGATGTAGTCCTTGCATCGGCGCTTGTTCAGCAATGTGGGGAGAAGGAGGCGGTGTCGGCGCCACTGGAGACCATATGGCAGAGCCACGGCCAGGGAGTCGCTGCCCATGGCATCGGCAAAGTACGCGGGGCGAGAGCCATAGATGGCCCCTCGTCGTTTGAAGAGCTCTTTCGCGCAATGGAAAGAACCGATGATGATCATCGGGCGGGAGCCCACCCAGACGGTGATGATGGGGCCGTGTCGATTGTGCCAGGTTTTTAGGGTTCGCCACGGATCCCGCCGTGGCAACTGGTGCAGATTGCCGATGATCGGGAGTGGCCGCGGCCCCGGTGGATATTGATGTCTTCTCTTGTTGAGTCGTAGCAGAAGGTACAAGTATCCAAAAATTGCTATTGTAAGGAAAACAATCATCGTCTCTATACCGGGGCGATAAGCAATATAAAAGATAACACTATATTGGCAGTATATTAGCGGTTTCGAGGCGCAGCTATCGATTCCTGCGAGTCCACGAGTATTTAAACGTGCCCACTAGTATAGAATTCACCTGCGCTATTTTCTGACCGAGAAACCCAGAAAAACGCTCACGACCGTCCTGATATACGTCCGGTTTATGTCGTCAATGGCGCGCATTGAATCGTGGCCTCTGCTCCGTAGACCTGTTTATGAAGACTGGGCGCAAGGTATAACTCAGTGTGGGTGTCATTCCAAAAGGTGTGCACCTAATAGATCCACTCATTCACGGGTACATACTCTCTGCACCTCTTCCCAGACAACACTGATATTGAATATTGGTACATATGCGTCGAATCTTATTGATCGTGCAGTCTGCACGAGTCATGTCGTAATTGACCTGCACCAGAATGAGGCCAGCAAGCGACGAGTTGTCTCTTGAATAGGAAAGAGCCATCGCCATTTGCTCTCTCAGCAAGAATTGTTGCTTCCTCGATGTCAACACTAAGTCATCGATACGTAAGTCCATGGACCAGCTTGCAATACACGTCGATGGGCTTCGAGGAGAGAGGGATATGACAGGTACGGAGACCTCAACCAAAATCCGCAACTGCAACCAAGGGCCCACAGAGCAAAAGTCAATCATTCAAGAAATAAGCGGCGAGTAGATCACATTCTACTGGTCGTCGAAGGACAAAAGCTCAGGTCACAAAAGTGCCCTTCTCGTGTAAGCATCTCGAAGGACATATAAGACAAGCTTCCGTCCATCCTCCAAAGCATATCATCCACAAACAAGTAAAGCCATCGTTATGATGTCCTCTACCACTGTTCTACTTGACCAAAATCTATTCAATCTTTCTTATAATAGTCTTTCAGAAGTGGATCAAACCCGGATGAGCGATCTCCGAGCTCGAAGCATCACAAGATACTATGGTGGGACGAGCATCCAATAGCAACTGTTTCACTACACTGACTGGCACTACTCTAGGCTTCGCGCCAAACGATATTTCACACCTAACACCCAAGTTCTGGGCCTTTCACCGTGATGATATTTGCGCTTTTGATATTTCCGCATTCTCACTCATCACCATCCAATGCAACCTTGTCGCCGGTACCTTGGCTACCTATGCTGAGAAGAGGACCGAGTACCAGAACCTTGTCAAGCGTGTGCTGAGCTTTGATGTTCAGTGAGTTCTTGACCCAGTGATAGACTCGTCTATTGACCAATTCGTCAGGGGGCAGTATATGCTCACCGAGCTAGGCCATGGCCTCGATGCCAAGCATCTAGAGACGACAGCAACCTTGTTGTCAGACGGTAGTTTCGATCTATACACTCCTCGCTTGCATGCGGCCAAGTAAGTCAAATCCACTCACAACCCCCCTGCACCGATGGCACAAAATCTAAAAAATTGCTCAGGTACATGCCTCCTACGTCACCGGTAGAGGGATTCCCACGGTTTGGGCTCGTCATGGCCAGACTTATAGTGGAGAACGAAGACCGAGACGTGCGGCCGTTTATTGTCTGGCTGAACAACGGCCGGGAAATGTGCCCTGGCGTTACATGCAGGTACGTGCTAGCCTCCTAAGTCTCCCAAATCGTCACTAGGATGACCAATCTCATTCCTCTTTGCGCGTAGAGTGCTTCCCCGTCGAGCCGGCTCCAAGCCCCTCGACCATTCGATCACCAGCTTCAACCACGTTCGGCTCCCAGCATCTGCGCTGCTGGGCTCTCTCGCCAAGCCGGACGATCCCCGCCAGAACTTCCTGCACGTCATCTCACGGATTGGGGTCGGCACGATGGCCATCTCGACCACCCTCCTCCCGATTCTCAAGCGCTGTGCGTTTGTGGCGGGGAAGTACAGCCTCCGCCGCCGCATCACCAACCCTGAAGGCAGTCTCATCTCGATATTCACCTTTCGGACCCAACAGCAACCCATTCTGCACGCGCTGGCCCAGATCGCCGTCTTCGAGGCCTGGATTCCCCAGTGCATTGCACAGTACACAGACCCAACCCTCACAGCCCCTGTCCGCCACGCACTCGGCGTCTGCGTCAAGGCCGTCCTATCCAAGGCAGTCCAGCACAGCGGGTTCCACCTCGCCGAGCGCTGCGGCGCCCAGGGGCTGTACGAGTACAACCACATTGTCGAATCGCAGCTCGAAAGCCGAGGGATTGCTGTCTCGGAGGGGGATACACTGGTTCTGAGTATTCGTATGTTGGCCCCAGTGCCCCGAACCCAAGCTCACCTATCACCATAGTCTCCCATTACCTGTCAAGAAACTAACACAAATTATGACAGTATAGGCCTAACAACCGAACTCCTCCTGAACCGCTACGCAATGCCCCAGTCCAGGCACCCTGCCACTCTTCTAGCCCAGCACGAGACCGGCCTGCTAGCTGCCACCCGCACGCGCCTCCACACAATGTCCGATGGCCACCGCGGCGCCGAATACAACCGCGTGCTCTTGCCCCAGTGCCTGCCCATCGTCGAGGCGATCGGCCAGCGCATGGCCTACGAGGCAGCGCTGGATGCCGGGGTTGAGCCGGATCTTCTGGCGCTGTACGAGGCGGGGGTGGTGTTGCAGGATCCGGCGTGGTATGCGGAGCACTGCGGGCTATCACGTGAGGCGCAACTGGACCAGGAACGGCGGGCGCTGGATGCGCTGGAGCCTAGGGTTGAGGAGCTGCTGGACGGGCTGGGGGTGGAACGGTTTTGCACGGCGCCGATTCTTTCGGCGGAGCGGATGGAAAGGTTTGTGGCGGGGTTGCCGACTTTTGGGGAGGACGGGAACAGGGAGGGGCAGAGGGAGAGTCGGCTATGACTTGGTCGTATCTGCTTCGCTTGAGTTTCCAGCGAGCAAAAAAGGGCGATCTATCTGGGGCATTTCTGAGCCCAGGGACAAAGCAGGGTGTGCTCAAGGAAGCATGCAGCCGAAAAGCCATCTGTAGCAAGCAGCACGCATGCTAACCCTAATTGTCGGGGTTGCCCCGCTGGGCTCTCGCCACAAGATCGTTCGATTAAGTGATGCAAAAGCAATCAACCGGGTCATTTGTTTTGCGTTATATTCGGAAACCCGGGGTTAGTCATTTACTTCGTATGTGAGCTAAAAGATCGAATCTGGATTATAAAGCACCAGGAGGCGCCAAGACCATCTATAGAAGAGGGTCCCACAACTGTGGGCCATGGAAGATATTTTCCGTCGTCCAGTCTACTGCTTCCAAACCGAAGACCCTGGACCCACATATCTTGAACCAGGGCGACAGTTATTCTTCGAATGATCAAGTATACCCAGGGAAGCTTCTACATACGTACAGACCAACATTGGTCAGCACCAACAGGTTTCGCTGAGCTTTCATGGCGGAATGATCGTGGGTATGCTCGTTCAAGATATGCTTGTCACCGCCAAGTCGCCCAAGTTAACAGGATATTCTACGGCTATAAATGCACTCGCATCGCCCAGAGAGCAATCCACATCCAGTCCATCAATCAAAACCCCTGCGATCAAAATGTCTACCACCATGAAAGTTGCTATAGTCGGAGCCAGCGGCGAGACAGGTCAATCCATCGTGAATGCGCTGTTAAGCTCCTCCACCCCGAAATTTGTAACACGATCCGCACACCCATGCATCATTCCACAACTCTCTAACAACAATCATACAACAGAAAATCACCGCCCTCACAAGACCACAGTCCATCAACAAACCCACCAATCTCGCCCTTCAAAGCCGGGGCGTCAACTCGTCTCCGCGGACCTCCGCGGCCCCATCGCCCCCCTTATCACCCTCCTCCAGGGCATCGACATCGTCATCTCAGCCATCCACTTCGACGCGCTCGCCGACGAAATCCCCCTCGCCGACGCCGCCAAAGCCGCTGGCGTCAAGCGATTCGTGCAGTCCGCGCTGATGATCATCATCCCGCCCAGGGGGGTGGTGGATTTCCGCGAAAAGGTGCGTCGTGCGCGAGATGCCCCCACCCCCCTCCACTATCACATCACACCACCAACGCAGCCAAAATCCCCAATCACAACCACAGTCCGATATACTAACAACCCCCCAGCAAGAAAAAAAAAGAAGGGAGAAAACCTGCACTACATCCAAAAGCTCCGTCTGCCGTATACCTACATCGACGCCGGCTGGTGGCACCAACTGAGCCTCCCGCGCCTGCCCTCGGGCCGCGTCGACCATCTCCTGCCCCCCGCAGCCCAGCACGACGGCTTCCCGCTGGGGCGCGATGGGAACGTGCCGACGGCGCTGGCGGACCTGCGCGACGTGGGGCGCTACGTCGCGCGGATCATCGCCGATCCGCGGACCTTGAATCGGCGGGTGCATGTGTACAATGAGGTGTATACGCTGAATCGGGTGTGTGAGGTGGTGGAGCGCGTGAGTGGGGAGAAGCTGGAGCGGAGATATGTGAGTCGAGTCCTTTTTTGGTTATACCGTTCTAGGTTGGAGGGGTAGGGAGGAGCTGACGTTGGGGTTGAACTAGGTATCCGAGGTGGAGGCGCGGGATGCGGTGGATAAGGCGCGGATGAGGCTGGCCCACAGCCCCGGGGATACCGGGGCCTTGCTGGCGCATGTTGCGGCGCAGTTGTTTTATTCTTGGGGGATCAGGGGGGATAATACTCCTGAGAATGCTGAGTACTTGGGGTACTTGAGTGGGAAGGACTTGTATCCGGATTTCGAGTATGTTTCTTTCGAGGAGTATATCAGGGAAGTCCTTAGAGGGGAAGTGAAGGGGGTTTATCAGAGTACGTGAGGGTGTGGCTGAATGGCTAGATTCTTGATGTTGCCAGAATTGAAAATATATACACAGCCGTGGGGAGTGAGAGCTCGCCTGTCTCGTAGGGTACAGGCGACAGAAAGCAGAGCTGAAGACGAAGAAATACAGGATGCATGCCAAGCCTGGAGACTGAAAGCAAGATTGGACAGTACATGGTCTTGACCACCCATTCTTCACCACCCCGTCAACGTCTACCTCTACTCCCTTACGTGGCGTCCGTCTCGCGACCCCACCCCCAACCACAGCAAATCCGGTCGGCTATAATGCCCACAGACATCGACAAAGGCTCTCGTCCGCTGAATCGGCCCATCCAGGTCCAAGTCCGCGTAGATGATCCCCTCCTCCGTGCTGGGGATGGGCGCCGAAAGCAGGCGGCCATCGGGCCCGAAGATCGCCGAACTGCCGCCTCCGGGGGTGCTCATCATGCTCCCCGTGGCGGTCTGCATCTTGTCAATCCCGGCCTGGCTGATGACGGCGGTGGTGTGCAGGACGTAGGACTGGGATTCGATTGCGTAGGTGCGGGCGAGGGCGATGGTTCCTGCAATCGATTCGCGATGTTAGCCGATACTGAGTGGGAAGGAAGTGGTCCCAATGGGGAAAGGGGAAGTACCCTCGCGCGACATGCTATACAAACACTCCTCTTTATTGTCCGCGTCGAACAGCGGCGGCCAGGCGGCGACGTGGATCTGCTCGCGCTGCGCATACGTGTGGTACTTGAGGAGGGGCTGGATGTGCTCCCAACACGAGAGGGCGCCGACGCGCCCGGCAGCGGTGGTGTCAACCACGCTGTTGAGGCAGTCGCCGAACGAGTCGCCGAAGATGGTCCGTTCCATGTGCGTGGCTTTGATCTTCTTGCGCAGCGCGAGGATCTTCCCGTCCGAGTCGACGATCGCCTGCGCGATGTACAGGGAGTGGTGGATGTGCTCCGAGAAGCCCAGCACCACGGCGATCTTGTGCTCCGCCGCGCAGCGCTGGATCGTCGCCATCTGCGGGGAGTCGACCTTCAAGGAGTTTTGGATGTACAGAGATGAAAGGTTCATGTCGACGGGGCGGGACCTAGAAGGATTTGTAGGAGTGCTTGCGTCAGGTTTGAGTGCCGGTTTGTTGGGGGAGATCGGGTTAGGGCAGGGCGAAGGGCGTGCCTTACCAGATCCAAGCAGGGTATCCCGGGATCCAGCATTCGGGGAAGCTGATCAACTGCGCGCCCTTTTTGGCGGCTTCAGCAATCAGAGTACATGTCTTCGCGACCGTTGCGTCGAGATCCAGCCACACCGGTTCGGCTTGGGTGACGGCGACGCGGACTGTTGAGGTGGCAGGGGCGCGCATGATGAGGTTATTGTGGTGCTGGATTTCTGGGTAGAGTACTGTGTGGGAGAGCTTCAGAAGCTCCGGTGCTGGAGGTTAAAGTATGCGCACTTTTAAGCTTCACTCAGCGCAAGCAGAGCAGAGACGGCGATAACTTTAATCAAGTGTTATGACTGTTGCAGCTCGTTCAGATAGCTTCTTATCAGATTATTGCGGGGTTATCGAGGCGGAATTTGTCTTCCGCCGCTTGACCCCGCCCAATTTTCGGCGAACTGTCAGACCACTTGAAGATGACCTTCTGGTCCTGATAAAACCACCCCAATGGCCGACGCGCTTGAGCAGGGTGAGAGCCGAAGGTACACCTAATTTAGAGCTGGTGGTCGTAAAAACGGATATTTAATAACTGTGGCGCGTCGGAAGTTGAAGTCCAAAGGAAATCGTGCTAGTAGTCTGTCATCCCAAACAAGTCGAAGCCGGACTCATGGAAGAGGTCCGGAAAGATGCTGGCGGTCCCTGTTTCTTCACTGTCAAATAAAGCCGTGTCCTCGTCCTCATGAGCCTCCTCCGCGGGCAACCATTCTGACTCAAGCTGCTCCTCTTCTGGCGCCTCCTCTCTCGGATTAGAGACAGCAGAAAACCCATGCTGCAAAGGCAAGGCCCCCATGACCTGCCATCTGCGCGCCAGCTGCCGCAAGAGACAAATCGCTCGCCTCGCTTTGACCCACCGCTGCTGCATCACCCACAGGACATGGAAACACACCCGAAACTGCGCAGTTGACGCGCTTCGTAGGGCCTGGTACGTCGAGGTCGCATTGCAGAGGTGCGTCACGGCGGCCGTGAGCACACTGTGAACCACGAACGGGGGCATGTGGTCGACCGGCGCGACCTTGCGGTACTCACGGAGGAGTCGGACAATCGACGCCGCGGCGGTGGACATGGCGCGAACGCATAGCTGGTACATGCTGCTTCGCTGGGTGGCTTGCTTGAGGTACGGCCGGTGGATGAGGATATGCGACATGTGGTACGAGATGTGCAAGTAGATGATCGAGGGCACGATCGCACGGGTCCGGCCCAACTGGATTTGAGGGTCCACCTGTCGTCGAAAAGCGTACAATTGGTCCCGCGCATTCAACAAGATATGGAACTTTTGGGCGCTGCTCAAGCTTGTGAATTCGAACGAGTAGCTGAAGGTTCAAGTTGAATGAGTCGGAGTTCTGGGTGGGTCCTGCTTCTGGGGCGGAAACATACATTCTATCCATGTGTTGATCATGGATGAACCACAAGCGGCATTGATGGTCAAAGGCTAGCTCGTCTAGGGAAGGTACCGGCCCAACGGTGCTGATAAAGAACTGGGTCTTGATCCGCCTCCATGGGAGCATACAGTTGCGTCCCAAAAGGGATGTTGCGATTCTGTCTCGGTGGCATCAGCTTGGAAGAATCGCATCGCGATGTTGCCTCTCACATACCGATCCATGAACACTGATGACCAGAGCGCTCTCAACTGAACGTGACGAGCGTGAACTTCTTGGTGTGAATTGATGGACTCAGCATCGGATAATTTGGTCTCCTGGGCCATGCTGACTGGTAGGCCTAGGTGAAGGGCCATGCTGGCACACATTGCTTCTCATGGTCATAGTTTGTCAGTTTGACATGGACCAGCCCACTGGAATCCCTCAGTGCACTCACAGTTGTACATCCACGCCATGTTGTGTTCCTCGAGCCCCAGCTCCCGCCAGCACATGATAGATAAAGCCTGTACGGTATGAACACTCGGCGATTCTCGACAGTGCTGCATGACCATGGCGTCAACCACGGCTGCAGCCTCCTCGCCAACCGTCCTGCTCTTGGCATCATCCGAGTAAAGTGCGCCAGCGGCTAACGCAGCGGTCTTGATTAGTGTGAGGTCTGCGTTCAGGTGATCGCCGTGCAGCTTATTCAGAGTCTCCGTGTCGACGAACTGGTGAATGGGGTTGACGCATTGTGTGAACAAAGCGAGCAGGTAGCTTGTAGTACTTCGTATGTCCGTCCGGCTAGATCCGGAGGATTCTTCCCAGGAGCTTGGACTAGGGAGAGTCGTAGAAGGCATATGCTTCTGTCCACCCGTGCTCAGATCCTCCCAGTGGGAGACAGGGAAACAGAAATTTCCCGACGGTCCAATAAACGCTTCTTCCCCATTGCTTTCAATACTCATACGCCAGATCAGGGCGCTGACGTCTTCGATCGCAGTTGACATGCTGTCTGGTATAGCAGAAGCAACAGTAGCAGGATCTGCCGTATTGTTATGGGAATTCGCACAAGCCTCCTTGCGTCCGAGCCGGACGTTCTCGGTCAAAGTGACGGCGTTGACGGGTTGGGATCGATGCAACTCCTCTTTGAGCATCGCGATCTGATCTTCCAGCCCCCTCACATAGTCCGCGTCAACTCTACGCCTGTCATGATGGAAAGATATGTTAGAACCGTGGCCGAAGACTATTCAATGGGGATGCAGACCTGTTGCGCTTTTCGGTATTGTACTGGCAAACTGCACGCTTGGTTATACACAACGAGCAAGCAGGACGCAAGCCATCACACTGGAGAAAGCTCCCTCATTACCAATCATTCACGGGGCTATTGAAGATGTGGCGTGAAGGCCGATTTGATGCTCTTACCTTGCGCTTCCGTCTGCGGCAGGTCTCACAGGCCACCGAGACGCGAGAATTTGAGCTATTGGAGTCCATAATGTGGGACTCGATAAGGCTCAAAGCTTGAGGCGGAATCTTCGTCGGTTTTAAGGCCTTCTTCCTTCAGTGGTGACACATAGCAGTGTGGTATCAAGAAGGTGATTTTACAGTAACTTAATGGTTGATTTGTATGCAGAGAGGAAGAGGATGATAAGCGACGCTGGAATCACGTAAGGCAACGCGATAAGCGATAAGGAAGCAACTGCTGCCTGAATAGTAGGGCATCAGGCGCCAATCCACTTACAGAATTCTGCCAGGCGGTGGGATCTGCTGCTGTGCCTGATCTCTCCAACCGTTCATCACTTTTGTAAAAAAAAAAAAAGAAAAGAAAAAGAAAGGGGAGAAAATAAATACCGTTTTATGATGGGATTATGAGTATTTATTTCCATTCTAAGACTATAATAAACAAAAAATCAGTAAAGAGTTTAAATATTTTAAGCTTAAGATTTAATTTTCTGAAATATTTAGTTTAAGTGCAGCTTCTGATTCTCTAGGAACAATTGCTTTTCTTCAAACTTAGGAAGAATATGTATGCCTGACTAATTCGGGCAATGAAAGAACCAGGAAACTGCATGTGCGGTAGAAAGTGGTACTAAGCAAGAGTCAGCCAAACTTCCCGACTGTAAAACAGCCTGATAAACCCGATTCCGGTTGTAGAATCTGAAGCCCGAGGGTGGCAACATGAAGGACAACAAAAGACAAAAGGAACTCTGGACCTTTCATATCCCACTCACCATGGCGCAAGATAAGAGACTGCGTGGCCATACCGGCAAACAAACCAAAGACTGTGAAGTTTACAACCATTGTTGCAGATTAAGTGGTGGTATATTGCTAACACTGAACTGGGCTCTGCAAAGAGCTTATATATTTTGAATATTGTTTAAGGTCTTTGAATATGTTAAATGTGGAATGATGCAACCTGTTATTTTCCAGTTGAAGAAAGATACAAAGCCTAAGAACTGGGCTATGTAGTGATTTTGTGGCACTATTTTTGCCACTGCGTTCTATACAAGGAGGTGGAATGTTAACAACACTTGCTTTGATGCGTTAAGATTGTCGTTTTTGCTACTATAATCGATCTACCGCCTTCATCTCCCCTTGCACTACTTCCTTACCAGGAATAATCTGAGGGTCATCAGCACATAGTACTCAGAGAACAAAATAAAACCGGCAGATCTGAGACTAGGGATAGAGACTCCACTGACAATTATAAGGGATCTAACTGAATACACAAGCCTGCATGCAGCATATCTCTGAAGAATGGATAAATCCTCCTATCCTTGCAGAAATAACCACATGCATGAAGAAAGAAATCTCGATCGAAATTTGAAGTCGCACAACTCGATTAACTTTTCTTTTGGCAAGATCATAGGCAAGCAAAGAATGGGAAACTTTTCGCCACCGCGCTTCTCACGCGATACATGGAAACATGTAGTTGATATAATATAGATTCATGATTTGCAAAGCGCTAGCTTTGCAACTCTGTAAGGGCCTGAACAAGGGTGGCGAACGCTGATTGGCTGACTCTTTATACGCAATTAAACAATCTGATTGATTTTTTTAAATAGTAGTCACATGATTTCTATCTCTGAATTACGCTTCGCCGGATAGCCGGGGGGGGGGGGGGGGTGGTTCTGAAGGGAATGGCAAGACCTTTTTCTAGCTGTAGATTCAGGCCGTAGGTCTAAATTAATAAAACATAGAAAGTATTAAAAAAGATACTTTAAAAGATACTTTAAAAGGTGCTTAAAAAGGTGCTTAAAAAGGTGCTTGAAAAGGTGCTTGAAAAGGTGCTTGAAAAGGTGCTTGAAAAGGTGCTTGAAAAGGTGCTTGAAAAGGTGCTTGAAAAGGTGCTTGAAAAGGTGCTTGAAAAGGTGCTTGAAAAGGTGCTTGAAAAGGTGCTTGAACAGCTGTAAGTATAGGCCCCGCTAAAGGCGCGTCGCAACGCCTTTGGCCAAGGGAGGAACCCGCAGGTCAGGCCCTCGTCAATTTCCAAGCTTTTATGCTCTTGATTCTACCTTATTGAAAGCCCCTATCAATCCTTAGTGAAGATGGAGTATTCTTTCAACGTTTCTGAGTCAACCAAACCATTATCTAGGAGCAGGGTCTGGTTTACAATTTTTCGGGGCGCCTTTTTAATGTAATTCATCATTTTTGGGAGCGCGCTCGCAGAAGCTGTCAAAGCTTTCTCTTGAAATATGCAGCTGATGTGACGCCACAACCTTCCTTATTAGCTTCTTTACTTTCTACCTCTGTTGTTCTCATATGGATCGAGTATTCTTTCCTTGGCGCCATACGCTAATCCTCTCGGATAATTCACTCGTCTGCTGATTCTGAATAGGAGGACAGAAGCTATATGATCGGTTTGTGAAGAAGTGACTATAGAACTTCCAATTGCCTGACTGTAAATCGTCTCCGGCATCGACGATATTGTATCTCAGGCTTGAGAACTCGCCTCAGCAAGCGGGAGGGAACGGGTTGCTTCATATGCAAGCCATATAAGATGCTGAAGTCATGGTACAGAAGTATCTTACAGCAAATGAACACATCTAGGTGGATGCAGACTATGACATAGTACATTTTCATTGTCGGTATCTTCCTAATTAGATTACTTGTGCATGTAGCCACCTCCATACGTAACATCTCTTTAGAGGTGGGAGTGATCGACTCCCGGTGGCTGAAGAATCTCAGCATCACCAGGTAGCACAACTGAGAGTGATATCTCATAACACCTATCAATATAAAGGACTGAAGATGTACCTTGGTTTAGAGATTCCATCTCCGAACACGGCATCCAATCCTCTGCTTAACATCTCTCTTCACGAATGATCGGATCGTTCTTCTTGTTTGACAAAAGCTGATCATGGCGTCTCAAGCAGAAAATGCACAAGCTTTCTCAAACCTCTTTGCTGAAAAAATTTCAGTGCGAAATCTCAAACTTCCGCTCAGGACCTTACCAGGCAGCTTGCAGGTGAAGTCTTCTGGCCCGCACTTGCATCCGCTGCAATAAAATCTAACCAACATCCAGCTTCAAGTTCCGTCCTTGCCATCGGAGATCACGGCAAGAATAGTACCATATGACAATGGCAATACGAACGACATTCCCCGTCTCATCAAATTGCTTCGTCTGTTACAGCCATGGGAGTCTGGCTGTTACCAGAGTCTCCTCACACAAGCAGATGCTATGCTGAAATCGGTCACTGAGATGTTTCCTCTCGAACTTCCAAGTGATATACGGTTGTGCCAGGCAGGCTGGCTTGCAGTGTTTCTGATGGTTGATGATCTCCTGGAGTCAATCCCGTCGTCGGAATCTCAAGATTGTATTCTTGAGGCAGTTGAAATGGTCAATGAATTCCCCAGGGAAACCTCTATGAGTATTTTGTGCCTTGACCCAACACCAATTCGCAGCAAAAACTGATTCTCTTAGGCATTTCCTCTGGAAACGCAACCGCCTGCAAAATACACCATTCCCTCCGCGTCATATACACATGGTTCGAGGGGATTCTCAATCCTCACTCAATCCTCATCTTCTCAACATGGTGACAAGAGAGATCATCAGCGTTCTCATTGGGTTTGCCATGGAAGCCCACTACAGGGAAAAAAAAGTGTATAGTCTTGGTTCGTACATGGCCGTTCGCACCAAGACAATCGGTATAGGTCCTTTCATGACTATGGCGATATGGGGCATTCTCGGACGTAGGATTGAGCACAAAGAGCTGAATGCCCTCATGGACAAGATTAAACATGTCGTTGGACTCCAGAATGATCTCATTGGGTTGGAAAAAGACATACGATCCGGAGAGTGCATGAATTCAGTTCTCATTTTGGCTCGCTCTGGTCAGGTCGGCGATGTCGTCAACGAACAGAAAACGATCCTCGCCCGTGCACAGAGAGTCTACGAAATGCACAACCAGTTGGTCATTGAGGCGGTGGAAATAGCTCAGAATTTCCTTTCGCGTCCAATCATTGATATGACATCGGAGGAAAAGGTCGCTGCAATGGAGACGATTCTTCTTGTCGCCCAACACCATCTGCATTGGTCCACCTCAGCAAGACGGTATGACGTTGTCGACCAGTAATGAGAATGGAAAGTGGGGTATGTCGATGGAAATTGCACTTTCGCCGGTGACTTACGATCAGCAGTATCGATGACTACCTCTTATACTAAGAATGCTTCAAGATTTGTCTGCTCATTACTCAAGCTCAACTTTATACAGAAATCCAGTTGTTCTCTAAAATTGCCAAATATCTTAGACAAGTAGGACCTTTCTCTCGCTTTCGGAAAACCTCGTAGAGTGATTTATCAGCCTTGCTATTTTCTTCAGGGATAAGATCTCAGTCTTAAGAATTGCGTAGCCACTTTGTAGGAGATCAATTGTCAGAATGTTCTTTCGTACCTGTCTCCACAGAGCCAAGTGATAGGCCAACCCTTACAGGCTACCATTTTCGCGAGACCGTCATGCAGTACAGATGCATATCACATAGGGCCATTCTGAATCAAAATGCAGTACATCATGGACTATACTCCTCTGGCTGTTTGCTACATCATGCAAGCATATCTCGTGGGCTTTTGTCTCGGATTTCCATAGCAAAGTCAGATGCCGTGATGCTAGGCAGCAATCAGTCTAGCGCATGACGAGCTCACAGCCACCGATGCTTAATCATTAGTCTAATAGAAATAAGCACTAGCACACTAGCACTGCTATCACTATGACGATTCTAGTTAGGAAAAGCCTAAGATATCCGACCAAGGCCGCAAAATATTACATGTTTTATCTGCAGACGTGTTCCCACCCCAACACTGACCCTCGCTCACACCAGATACACTCACTCCAAGTCGAAATGGTCACCAATCCGAAGGACAAGCCCAAGGTGACTTTGGAGGCGTTAGCCGACCTCCAAGTCCCTCGCGATCTGTCCATCTCCCCGGACGGCACCAAGATCGCCTATACACTACAATCCTTCAGCAAGAGCGGCGAGCATGCCACCTCATCGATTTGGATTGCGAAAGTGGGCGAGGAGAATAGCAGTCGCCAGATCACCTCGGGCTTATTCCACGACGAACAGCCCCGATGGTCTCGAGTCGCGGCGACCATCGCCTTCAAATCGGATCGCCACCGGCCGGGCACCAGCTCCGCCATATATGTGTTGCCGGTCGACGAGGGCGGCGAGGCGTACCCCGTCACTCCGGTGGACCGCGAGAAGCCCATTGTAGCGTTCGAATGGGATGCTACCGGCACGAGGATTGCATACACCAGCGCAGACGAGAAGACAGACAACCAGGTGGCCAGGGAGAAAGCGAAAGATGATCCGACGGTCTGGGGGGAAGACGACGGGGAATATCTCCGCCTGAGGGTCGCTCGTGTATCCGACACCAGGCAAGTCACCACGATTGTCGCGGGTCGTCGCCATGTCCATGGCTTTTCGTGGAGCCCGGACGCCCAGCAGATCTGCTTCGTGGCGCACCAAGGGCCCGATATCAATTCCCCTGGGTTCCATGGCGCCGAGATCTGGATCACATCGACCCCTGGACTGGAGTCGTCGCAGCGGATGGCCCGATTCCCGGGACCGATCAGCCAGATTGCGTGGGGCAGCTGTGGCGTCTACTTCGTAGCCGGCCATGTCCCGACGCACTGCCTGACCTCCCTCTCGCTCTACGAACTGGATCTCGACCAGGGATCCTATGCAGAGCGCAGCACCGAAGGCGATGCAGAGCACTGCTGCATCACAGTCCAAAAGAACAGCCAATCGCGCCTCTCCTGCCGGATCCAGCGGTACCTGGCCGACGAATTCTACTCGATCAACGACGACGGCACGCGGACCAAGGTCTACAGCGAAGAGTGCGAGATGACCTCGTTCGACCTCCTCCAGACGCCGGACAACAGCGCCATCCTAGCGATCACGAAGGGCGACGGGTCCCATCCCGAGGAGGTGTTTTCCGTGTCGGCGTGGGCGGGCACCGTCCAGCTGTCCGCGCACAATTCCGCCCTCGCCGCGCTCCAGATCGCCAGGTCGTGGGCCATCGCCACGCACGCCGCGGATGGATACTACCTCGATGGAATGATCTACGTCCCCTTCACTTACCACCCCAAGGATGGGCCCCTGCCCACCATACTCATGCCGCACGGAGGCCCCTACTGGCGGATCACCACCGGGTTTGCGGTCTGCCACTGTCTCGAGGCTCCGGTCCTGGTGTCCATGGGCTACGCGGTCCTGTGTCCCAACTACCGCGGTGGGAGCGGTCGCGGGGAAACCCACACGGCGTATGCTCGAGGCGGGGTGGGCACCGCCGACTACACCGACTGCATTGATATTCTGCGATACAGTATCTCCCAAGGCTGGGTGGACCCTGCCCGGGTGGTCATCGGCGGGTGGTCGCAGGGCGGCTTCCTGTCGTATCTGGCCATCACCCGCGAGGCGTTTCACTTCCGCGGCGCCATCTGTGGGGCGGGGATATCAGAATGGGACTCGATGGCGATGTCCAGTGATGCGTACTGGATGCAGGGGGAGGTGGCCGGCGGGGCGCCGTGGGATGTGGATGATGATGCCGCCGCCGTCACGCCGGATCCAGACTCGACGAGCGCGGCTAAGAAATGGATTAGTGACACCCACGGTCGGCGGGGCAGCGCACTCTGGCACATGCGGAACGTGACGACGCCCGTCTTGATCCTGCATGGTGAGAACGACGTGCGGGTGCCGGTCGCCCAGGCCATCGCCTTCTATCGCGCGTGTGTCCGCAACGGTGTGCCGGTCGAGATGGTGACGTACCCTCGTGAAGGACACTTTGTTGTGGAACGGAAACATCTGCTGGACATGTGGGCGCGGATGAGGAGGTTCTGTTATCGAAACTTGCAGTGAGTGACGCTGGGAATGCATGAAAGGGGGGCGAAAGGGATAAATACTGAGCGAGGCCATCAGAAAAGAAAGTAAATGAATAGACTGCGAGAAATAAGAGCAACCCTACCTTATCCTCTACATAGCCCTAAATGAAGCATCTCTCAATCTCCACAACCCATCTTGACTAGGATTCACCCCCTCGCCCTCCGCAGAAGATCACTCCGATCCGCCCACCGGCTTTTTTTCACAGAAGCAGGTTCCGTGCCTCCGACGTCTTGATCCTACATGCTAAAGCTGGGCTCATTTGAGAGTACTATTTAACTTCCATGTCCAACCCGAGCAAATCATACCCTTGTTCCACCATGGGGTGTGATACACCTCTCAACACCACATATACTTCGAAGCGTTCTCAATCAGGTAGCCCGGCAAGCAGTTACTCCACAGTTGACGCCGCAGGGGTCCACGTATTTTGTCATATCCGAGGTAGCTGAGACACACTCCCGAGTCCCGAGTCACGGACCGAGTCAATCGGAAAAGCAACGGGTCCACTCCGTGCTTCGATGGACAATAGGGAGTAGAGTCCTAAACAAACCCAAGTAGACTCTCAACCCAGCAGCAATCCCAAAACAACCCCCCCCCCCCCAAGAAGAACCCATTGTAACACCATGATCAACCAACCAGTTAAGCCTGCATTGTGTTCGAAGAACATATGCCATCCCCATCTATCGCGACGACTCGGTCATGTCTGCCCCCCGATCACGTGATGTCTCACCAAGCTTGGACGCTCTTCACTCATTCTCCCTCCTTGCTTCCCAGAGGACGAACGCAATTGTAAGATGTCCAGAGCCGATAGAGTCACAGGTGCGTATCCGAGTCTCGACTGATGTCCATGCATCACCGTGTGAGGTCCGTGGATTGTAGCGACTACTTTGTTTTCGAAGATAAAACACCCTGTCCGGAACAGTAACACGGTAGTCGAAGGGGAGCACTATATATATCGGCAGAGGTACCGTGAACGAGCGACGTTCAAAGGATCTGCGTCAATCGATAAGGGGTTCATCTGCGAATCGGTCGATATGGCTGTACTAGTAATCCGGCCTCGTGCCGCAACGCGGTTACCAGGCTGCTTCAACATGTTGATAATTCAGTTGGTTACCACCACCAAGAAAATCGAGAACACGTTCCAGTACCTTACATCTGAGGCTTTAGAATCGTTGACAGAATCCCTACCTAGCACAAGGGGGATCATCTGTTAGAAGTATTCTCTTGATTTTTAGAAGAAACCTCTTTCGACGCGCAGAGGTCCGGGCGAGTACATTGCATCCTTTGCATCACGATGAGTACTTCCCATCTCCCTACATCTACGATGAGAACATGCAATTTCCCTCAGTGAACACCTTTCAGCTATGCATGCATCCGTTTCGTCTACTGGAACGATCTCTCATTCGCCTCAGACAGAAAACAAACCGCCAGGCACGAGCTACTTCGTCCCGTCGAGAGACATACAAGTAATCCACAAAGCAACTACACTTCAAGAAAGTGGAGGATCAAGAAAGTGGAGGAGTAAAACTTTAGAAACAAAAATAATTGTATTTACAATTCGACTTCTGCAGAGTCATGATTCGTGATATCCAAATCGATCAGATCTATCTTATCAAAAAGTGCATTCGTACAAGGCCTCGAGTCCAGACCCTGGGGTATCTTCTAGCATCATCCATCATGTCGTCCCTCCCTTGTTTTGTGTCTCAAGACACCCAGTCTATCCATTAATGTAAAGGGGTATTTTTGTGTTGGTTCATCAAACTTTTTGTCGTCACGTCACTCAGCCAGCAATTTACAGCTGCTCGGCCCAAGGGGCGGAACCAGGCTGCATCTGATTGAGCCACTTGACGAGTTCAATGACCTCGGCGCGGCGCTCCTCCTCAAGCTGATCGGGGTCAGAGAGGACGGCCTGGAAGATGGGCAGGAACTGAGGGGTCAGCTCGCGGACGGTGGGGTCCTCCCACTTGTCTGTTGTGAAGTTAGTCGAATGTTGAATGGATGTATGTCCTCGAAAGTACTTACACATCTGGCAGATCATGCGGAACAGGGGGTCGTTCTCCTCATAATCGTTCTTGAGGGGAAGGATAGAGACGAGGACGGGAAGAACATCCTTGATGGGGACGCTCTCACGGTGCTTGAGGATCATGCGGGACAGACATCCGGTGGCGTTGTCCTGCAGACGGGAGGCGCTCATGTGGAGGCACTGCTCGAGACGGGAGAGGATGGTGGGGATCTCCTTGACGATCTGGTCGTTGGCGTTGGAGTGCTCGATGAGACGACCAACGGCGTAGGCCGCGTTGGAGCGGGTCTGGGGATCCTCATCGCCAAGACGGTGGACGAGAAGCTTCAAGAAAGCAGGGGTGAACTGAGTCACAGCGCCACCCATGCCGTTGATGCACTCAGCGAGGACACCGACAGCGGTGGCACGCTCAAGGGCCTCGGAGCTACCGGCATAGCGGATGATAATCTTCTCGAAGACCTTCCAGAGCTCAGCGAAGGTCGCGCCCAGAGCAGCAGCCAGACCAGAGACAACGTCCAGACCGGTGTCAACAACGACCCAGTCGAATTCGGAAGTCTCCTCACCGGCCTCGAGGGTCTCCTCTTCAGGACCGAACTCGAGTTGGCAGGGGTGCTTCTTGGTGATGATATCAGTGATCATGGTGATGACGTTGTGCAGGGTGGTCTCGTTGGCGATGAGAGCAGGACCGCAGTAGCGGAGGTTCTCAGCCATGTTGCGGTTGATGTCGGCGACGGTAGCCCTAAGATTGCCTGGTTAGAAACTATGGTAACCAGAGAATGAAGTGATAAAGGCAGCAAGATAATCAAAATATCAGAAGGTTGTGAGTAAATCGTGGTTGACAGCATGCACAACTTTTGTGTGTCTGAGTGAGCTGGGTAAACGAGGTGATCATCATATAAATTGACCCGCATGAGCGGACAAGACCTTTGCGTGCAGAACAAAAAAGCGGAAATATGTATACGTACCGGTCATCTTCCTCAGTCCACATCTTAATGGTGCAGGTCATAAGGATCTCACCGAATTTCTGCACCTCACGAGCAGGCTCAACCTGAAGGGGGAGACCAGGCTTCCACTTCTCCATCTGACCGCTCTCCTCGGCAATGCAGTACAGCATAGCGTAGGAGCGGTGAAGAGTGCTGATGGTGCTCTTGCGAACACCCTCGTAAGGATGCTCAGCGAGAGGGAGAACCATCTCGATAGTCTTCTCGAAGAAGGGGAGGTACGCGGCCTTGGTGTGAGTGACAAGGTCACCAATGACCTCGACGGCAATCTCCTTCTCCAAAGAGAGGGGAGTGGTGGCTGTGATGTCATCCCAGGCATCCTCGTCCTCATCGACATCAACATCCTCAATCTCACCATCCTCACCGACAGGCTCATCGTCATCATCAGCGCTGGCGACGCGGACCTTGCGGCCACCAATGGTCACCTCCTGGCCGACGAGATCCTTAGCGGCCTCACCAAGGGAGACATCCAGATCAGTCTCGTCCTGCTCGATGCAAGCGAACAGACCCTTGACGACACCGTCGAGGAAAGGAGAGAAGTGCTCGGCGTAGACCTTGGACATGGCACCCCAGAAGATGTAGGTGCTCTCCTTGAGGCGGGAGTGACCAAGGTGGAGAGCCTCCTCGGTAGCACGCATGAGGGGCTCGACGTAGGGCTGGTAGCGCTCAGGACCAGCAGCAGCAGCCATCTCGCCCATAGCGTCGGTGACGCTCGCACGAAGGTCGAGCTCCTCCTCGCTATCCTTGACCGTGGCATACTCCTGAAGAAGGTGCATGGACTCATCGAAGAAGGACAGGAAGGAGTCACCAGCAGAAGAGGCCAAAGAGCCGAGAGCACCGGCAGCAAGACCCTTGATTCTGAAGTCGGGGTGCTTGAAGAGCTTGTGGAGGATGGGAACCAACTCGTTCTGGTAGGGAGCAACATCCTTCTCATCGAGACCATCAACGACGGCATCAATGGCGCTGATACCAGCCTTCATGATGTCAATGGTAGGACCATCCTCCTCACCCTTGTACTCCTGCATGGCGCTGGCCAAGTTCTTAAAGAGCAAAGGCATCAATCTCTCGTGCTCCTGGCTCAGATCCTCGGCCAGATCGTCCGCGAGACGAGCAACAGCGTGGAGAGTAGCCTGGCGAACCTTGGGCTCGGGATCAGCCAGGAGCTGAAGGACCATGGGGAAGATCTCCTTCATCTGAGTGCTGATAAAGTCGGGAGCACCCTCAACAACCATGCCGAGAGCCATGATACCAGCACGACGGTAGTCGGGGTTGGTGTTGTTGAAATACTGGCCAAGGGATTGGAGCAGGGGAACGACGACCTGGCTGGGGGGCAGGCTCTGGGCAAGCATGTCCAACAGACCAAGGGCGGAGCGAGCAGGGGTGATGTCGTCGTCGAGGGCGGAAGCGTCACCGAGCTCAGTGACGATCTGGAGGGCGCTGCGGGTGAGCTGCTCACCGATGCGCATGCCCTGAACCTTCAGCTTGCGGTACTGGATGCACTGCATCAGGAAACTGATGGCCTGAGTACGGGTGTCCTCATCAGCCTCAGTGTTGGAGGCGATCTCGTTCATGAAGACAACGAGGTCCTTCAGGTGAACAGTCATGAGAGCAGGGTCGCAACCGAGCAGGGTCTGGAAGACCTCGAACGCCTGCATGACCTCATCATCCTGCTCCTTGTCAATGGCATCCTTGAGGACAGCCACCATGGAGGGCAGCAGGTTCTGGAAAGCGCGGACAGGGCCCATGTTCTCCTCAGAGTCCAGGTACATAGCGAGCTTGCTCAGAGCCATGAGGGTGTTGATCCGGACCTCCGAGCTCTCAGGGTCACTGATGGTCTTGCTGAAGAGGTTGAACAGGTCCTCGAACTTCTCCTCGAACGCGTCACCCAGAGTCTCCAGAATGGTCAACAAGATGTAGACACCGACAGCACGCTCTTCCTTGTTGCCACTGCTAGCAGCCTGCAGCAGGAAGTTGGGCAGCTCAGCCCACTCGCCATCGTTCAAGTCGATCTTGGCGATGGCAGAGATGACGCGAGCAACGGAGTGGCGGACCAACGAAGAGGCCTCGCCGAGAGCAGAGCGCAGCAGCTGCTCACGGATCTGGGGCTTCTGGTTGGCCTGGACCGCAACCCAGTGCTTGACCACGAGAGACCGGGCCTCGACGGCAGCCAACTGTCTCAAGTTGGCATCCTCGTGGCTAGTGGCAATCTGGATCAAGAACACAAGGGACTCGGGCTGCTTGTAGAACTCGCGCTGGAGGACGCCGGTAGCCTCCTTAACGTTGCCCTGAGAGGCTACACAGGACAGTTAGTCTTCTCCATTCACAACCAGCAGGGCTGTTGCAGTGTCCAGGAAAAACTCACGATTCAGGACAATCTGAAGTTGTTGCAGGAACCGTTGCTGATCCATGATGTGTGTAACGAACTTCTGTGAAGATCGGAAAGATTTTTGGAAAGATCCCACGGAGGGGTGCAAGAGCAGAACCTTCTTTTCAGAGAGGAACTGACGAGTTTGACGAGAGCCGGCTACACAAGCTGGACAACTCGTAGGGTATCACAAAAACAAAGATGGCACAAAAAGGAAAGAGAGACACACAACAAGGAAAAGGGAGAGAAGAGGGAGAGGTAGAGGGAGAGGGATGGAGAAGGAAGAGGGAGGAGAGTGAAGAAAAGAGAAGAGGAAGAAAAAGAAAAGGAGATGGAGGGGAAAAAATTGGCAATAAATGGGCGGAGAGACGGAGAGAGAGAGAAAAAAAAAAAATTATGGGTGGGTAAAATTGGAGAGTTCAGCGGTGCGCATTTAGCCCCTTCCGGGCTAGCGGTCTGTACCACTCGGTCTTGCGGCAGTCTCAGGGTAACTTACACAACCACAAAAGAGTGTTTTGGTGTGGTAATGGCAAAGGTAATGGTAAACATGGTTACTTCTTTGGGCCGCTGCCCGAACTCCCACAGTTTATGCTCACAACAACATTAGCAACAGCAACATTATTAGGTGGATCTACACTAACTACTGTACAGAAAAGGTTTACATGCAAGATGCATTCACTTCCACATGGGCCCACGGAAGGCTGCATGCATTCGCCTCGACTTGATCTCATGGTCGGCAACGAACCGATGGGCAAAAGGCAATGATTGATCCAATCTACTCACGTTTTGATTTGCTGCATGAACTGCTAAGACGGTGGGGTACTACCTTATGTACTCCCTTCCCACAGCAGTCGACGCAACCTCTCGGATTCTGTGCCATATGATGGATCCTAGCATATACAGTATACGCCGATCTCGTGACCGAAGCGAAACAAAACTCAATCAATGGATAACCTGGAACATGTCTCTCAATAACCATTATCAGCAGTACTACTCGCGGATGAAAAAGCATGCCAGACCCGACCCTAACAGAGAACCAGACCGTATAACCATCTCGCATTATGTCCAAAGAAAAGCCCACAAAGCAACCCTACAATAAAACTGCAAGCTTTCGTTTTGAAAGCATCCAGCACACCCAGCGGAGTTCTCCCCTCTTCACAAAGGCTCCCAAGAACCGAGCTTTCTAATCAATAACAATGCAGAAAGCCGTCTCCTCACCCACTCGAGAGCTATAAAACGCGGCCAGTCGAGTCCAAATTACTCTAGGATATCACTACAACACACCCAGTACATCCTCCACGCACCAACCCCCCGTGATATCTACCATGCCCGAAGAAGCAGCGAGTGTGTTGCCTGTCGCCGCAAGGCTGAAACTCAGGCAGGACCGGTGGCTCGAGACGCTCGGCAAAGTCTTTCTCGTGAGCGAGGGCTACATCGTCAGAAGGCCCCCATCGCTCCTCGAAGACCTGTACAAGGTGGTCACCGTCGAGATCTTCGGCAACGGTCGATGCTTCGTGGTGGTGATCATCGAGCCCCCCGTGGAAGAGGAAAACCGGTCCGCTTGCTGGGAGAGCCTGGACGCGCTCCAGCGGGAGGATTGGTTCCAGCCCGTCAGGGGACAGCCAAGAAATCAGGATATCTACGGGGCCTTGCAGATGGGGGACGAGGTGATCTTCACGAAGAAGGGCCAGGGCCCGCCAGCGAAAGACGGGGGGCACGTGCCAGCGTCGAGAACCTTCGAGGCCGAGACGGTGCTGAGCTGGGACGCGGATATCTCTGTGATCGAGTTCCACCTCGAACAAGTGAAGTCCAAAATTCAGATAGCTAGGCTTCGTCGGTTGCTTGGCTCGGTATCAAGGATGGTGGTGAGACAGGGAGTGTTTGAATTTGCATGAATCAGGTAGGAAGAGCTAACTAGTGAAAGCCGCAAAAGCTGCAGGTCTAGTTATAGATTACTGCCAGATACCAGATACACAGTTCATTGTACTCGGAAACCAGACTCCTTGGATGACAACCATGACAACTCCAAGCCCCCGAACATTGCAATGATAATCAAGAATGAAAAGAATATGAAACGATATTTCAGACCACTATGCGTGACATGAGTTGCAAAACACCATCTCCTCCATTGGACATTATAGACCACACCTACAAACAGCAAGTGTTCATCCAAGATCCCGTAGCTTCCCGTACTACATTTAATATTCATCAGAGTCGTAATCGTCATCGACCAGCAGGGAACGGTAGCCCCGCGCAGCAAGATTCTCCTCGAGGCCTCCGTCGGCTCCAGGATCAGCGTATCCTGTGTTTATTGTCAGCAACGAGTCTCTCATACGATACCGCAAAGCTGTCACTAGTGCCTTACCTTCTCCGCCGAAGTAACTGAGTGCCACCGGCAAGAACACGAGAGCGTGGGTGGCCGCAAACAGGACCAGTGCCAACCAAACCCGGAAATAGTAGATCTCGAAGATCTTGCTTCGGGTGAAAGCCAGGACACAGACACCGAGGAGCTTCGTCACTGTGATGCCGCTGAAAACACTCCCGCCGACGTTGACCAAAGCTGTCCATGCCCGCGCATCCTTGCCCCGGAACTTTGTCGGCACCTTCTCCAGGATACCCCGCGAAGGGAACATGAATGCACGAGCAATATGTGCACAGAATTCGACCGCAATTCCCACGCAGATGATCAGGTTGACGAGGGAGACAGCATTGAGGGAAACGCCGGCGACTGCCATCGCCCCAATAATGTCGATCATGATCATTACCACAGTTGTCGTCACCACCGCTCCAGTAGCCACGGATCCAAGCAAGGCAGAAGTAAGGATGAAAATGATAGCAATTGCGCATCCAAGCAAGGTTCCGGTCAGCCGGATGATCGACACATATTGATCGAAGTAGATATAGGTTTTCGAGTAGGGAAAAACGTCAATATCATGCTCCTTGGAGAGACCGTCAGCGATGCGCCGTGCTGAGATGTAAGACTTGATAAAGTCATCTTGGCTTCGGAGAGGAGTGTGGGTTGTTCTAAAATGGGTGGCATTGGTCATGATGCGTTTGGGATCGAGGACGAGCGCATTGCTGTAGGGGGCTTTGCCTCCAAGAGGGCAAGAGGCGTCCGTCGGAGCTTGAATCCATTTCTCAGCATAGTGCATGAACTCCTGCCCTGTGGGCATGCCATAAAGAGAGATGTTCCATGCCGGAGTCCTGTCCTCGAAACACACTTCGCCGTCCTCGGTGCAGCAGTCGTCTTGCGGGTTCAACCAGTAAAAAAAGTCATCGATCCAGCTCGCAGTTGATCCGGAGATGTAAGAAACGTTCGGACGCTTGGATTCTTGTTCCAGGACAAATGGCAGGGAGAACTCTTCACAGGTCGTGAACCGTCCACACAATTGTTGTTGATGACGCCGTTCAGTGACGTTGACATTTCTTGTCACAAAGTACACTGGTGGTCCGCTTCCAAAGTAAGCGTCCAGGTCGTTGAAGTACTGCACAAGATAGGAGTCGCTAGGCAGAGCAATGCGCTGGTCCAGGCCAAGGGCGACCTCGGGAACCAAAGCGATACCAGCCGTCAGAAGGCCTAAGAATGTAATCACCACGAAGACTTTGACCTTGCGCTCTAGCAGGAAAGTCGCATAGACTTTGCGGATAAATGATTGCAGGATACTTTCGCCATCGTGCTCGTCCAGTACCTGGTCTTCAGACATCCCAGAATGGGCCTTGCGGACGGTCAGGCACGGGAAGCAATCAGCGCGCAAACTTTCGACGCGTCTTTGATTCAGTGCTAGAACCGAGATAAACATGGTAACCTGCAAGACGGCATTGATGAAGACAGCCCCTGCTGCATAAACTGCAAAGTTCTTCACTGCCGGCATTCCGACGAAGACGCCCAGAGCAAAGGCAATAGTCTCCGTTGCAGCGGAGAGGAAGATACTGGGGCCGATGCGGCCGACTGCACGAGCAATCCGCTCGTCGATTTCTTCGTCCGGATGGCTGACGTTGATCCTTTCAAATTCGTGAACAATGAGGAAGATGTTGTCCACTCCGACAGCTAATACCAGGAAGGGGATGACCTCCGCGATGATCAATGTGACCTTGATGCCTGCCGCGGAGAACAGGCCGACCGAAGCAGACACAGACATCAGAACGATGATGATGCCCACAATACCAAGGGTGAACTTAGATTGCACCAGAGCGTTAGCCGGGTTCGTGAACAGCGACTTCCAGGTCACCGTGACCGATCCCAAGGCCAGGGACGCGTAAATGAACATGATGATATAGCTGATGACCACGATCTTGGCATCTGTGTTGCTGGACTTGTTCAATTCTTGCTCAACGCTGATCTCTGTGTTGAAAGACACACGGAGACCGCGGTCTTCGGCCTCTTCTTGTACGACTCGAAGAATCTGCTGGATGGTCTCTTCCCAGTCGATGGCGTTCGCTTCCTCTTCTGTGCCTTGGGCATAATTATTCACCACCCAGGTAGTGAACAACGCCTGCGCATCGAGCACATTGCCGGTACTCTCATATCCACCAAGAATCATTTCGGGTCTTAGAGGCTGCCCGAAGGCGGGTAAACAGCTTACATCTCCAGGGGACTCGGTACAATGCTGGAGTCGTTCTTGCCAGGTGTGAGGGTCTAGATTCGACAACGAGCCATCAAAATAACCGGTCAGAGACTGGACCACACAAGCATCGCCAGTAGGCTTGAAGCAAACGTCGTCGAGAAGGAGCCCCCGATCTTGGGACAATGTTCGGTGCACCCTCAGCTCTACACCAAACCACCAGCTGAGCGTATCGTAGCTCAGCACTGGTCCGGTATCATTGACCAGGAAGGCTTGCTCGGCTCGGTAAAATGGTCCGAAATGCTCATCGAAATAGGCTTTCTCCTGCGCGGCCGCCGAGGTCGGACTCACCCACAGGCGAACCGGGTCAGTTTCGACAGCAAAACGCAGCCATCCCAGGCTCAAAACTCCAACCAGTATAGTACTGGTGATGATAGTAATTGCAGGAAACCGAGCGCAGGCACCACCGATCCGATTGAACATTCGGTCCAGGGCGGCGTTGAGCTTGTAGACACCGTTAGGCTGTTCAATGTAACCGCCTGCTCGGACAATGTCGCCTTCGTCCTCATCGTCACTAGGGGCAGGATCCTGCAGAAGCCTAGCCCGCTCAGGCTTGTGGTACCGCCGCTCCCGATAGGTGAAGTAGCTCGATGCGGCCACGACGGTCAATAGGAAGACCGAGTAAATGAGGATTACTGCAAAGGACAAGCATGGGAGCAGGCCGACGTGACAGTATCGATCTGTCTTGACGGCAGGCAGTTCCGGACAGACATCCGGACAATCGACGCAGGAGCAGCGGAAGGCCTCGTCGGGGTCATTGCATGCTTTGGGCTTGATCGGCAAGGCTTCCATGCCCTGCGGGTCCGAACCTGCAGGTTCCGTCCTGAAGTTGATCTGGAAGGGGCTTCCCAGCAGCTTCTTGTCTCCCAGAAACTTCATGAAATGGGGATAGTCCTTGGCGCCTCCTCCGATGAAGTCAATGGCCTTGCCACCTGAGGCGCCATTCTTCACGTTCTTGCAGCTGTCGTAGAAGCCACTCTGGTATTCCTCCGACCAGACATTGTCAATTTCCGTGACCAACTTCTTCCCCGAGCCATTCTGCTCAATCTGCGTGACATTGACAAAGAGAGACTGGTCGGGCGAGCAGGTAAAAGTACAGAAGATGTTAAAGAAGTTCTCTTTGCAGGCGGGACATGAGGCGATGATTCCTTCGGCGAGTTTGAGGTTCTTCGAAAGCGCATCGATCTAACGGTACGGATCATCAGAGATGTTCCTGCGTTGGTGGGCAAAACGGGGTGGCATGACATACCTGTTCATCCTCACAACACACGGGCCCATCCTGCCACTTGCTACCGCACAGGTCGACCAGCTTCTTCCTCACCGCCGCTTCGGGCTGTTTGGCACGCCCATTGTCGGGACAAGGGAGCTCTCCGCCAAAGAATGATTTCTTGCCGCAATGCCCGCGAAGAGCGCAGCGGCCGGGCTCGTGGATATCGGTGTAGCCGGAGCTGTCCTGGGCCTGAGTCTGGGCCTGAGTCTGGGGTAGGAGAGCGCCAAGACCCGCGAGGATGGGGATCAAGCGGTATCCCCGCATTGCTCCTGAGGGGAGATAAGCTGTAGCTAGTGGGACGGAGGGGGGTGAGAATGTGATGGCATAAGAAGAATACTGAATAAGATTGATGCAAAGAGGGATGAGGAATCGAGAGGGTGATGGGGCGATGGGGGGAGGATGAGTTGTAAATAAGGTGCGGAGGCACCGAGCAAGCAAGCAGGCAAGCAAGCAAGCAGGGGAGCTTCGGAATGACGACCAGCCGCGGTTCGTACGTAAGCGGCGCTGGTTGGTTAGTCAAGTTACTCCATTGACCCTGGTTGCCTTAGCCGTCGGGCGGGAAAGTCAGGCACATCACTCGCATTTAGCCGTACGTACTCATGTTTCAGGCAATGGGGCAGTATGGCGTACTCCACTCGAAGCCGGAAGCGGTGAGACCTGCCGGGCGGTGATAAGTCTTTCTGCCACAGCTGACCCTTCCAACCAGTGTTTAGTACAGTTTCCAGTTCCCAGAGTCTGTACGACGTTGATATCTTATGAAGCAAGCTCAAAGTAGAAAGCGGTGAGATTTGGTGTTATGCATTCTGCCATCGCCTGGTATGATGGTCTCTGTAGCGCTTACCATTACCATTACCATTACCATTGACCTTGACCCTAAAGTCCGGATATATGGAAGCGGTAATGAGCCCGTTGACTCACATTTCGGTAGAACCATGATGATTCTCTTCCCTCATCAATGCATACTCGAAACAACATGTACGGCTTGGACCACCGCAATGACCCAATATCGCATCATACCATGAGCCAGGCCATCGTCATGCGGCACGATGCCGACAAATATTTTTTCAATCAGAGACTTGTTACTCATAGTGCGTATCCTCATGCGCTCTGCTAATATCCAGCGCGCTACGCGATTAGCCTACTGACACCTCTACCCAATTCATCATGCCATTCTGGTCTCGGAAGGGGTCAAAGACCAAAGCGGCGGACAGCTCCAAGCCAGTGGACAAGCCCGAGTCCGTGTCCAGGGAGGAAGAATGCAGGGAAAGGTACAACTACGCGAGGAACCGGTATCGTCGACTGGTTCCCACTGACACCGTTTATAAAACCCGTGAACAAAAAGAGGTCGAGGAATGGGCCGAACAATACACCAAAGAGGCAGCACTGGGCATCCTCATCCTCCAGCGCCTACATCGTCTGCAGTTGCTCGGGTCTCTCACGTCAGAAAGGCTCCGCCGGCACGGGGAAACTCTCACCAAAGTGAACGACAGCACGCCACCACCGGCTTACAGTAAGCCGGCGCAGGGGCATCCTCACCTGGAAGCAGAGGTAATCGAGCTCCGCAGAGACTACTGGAGGCATCAACTTCGGTTGCAGGGCGAGTATCGACGGCGTCCACATCCGGCAAGTCCACGCATGGAGCTGTTTCTGGTCGGCCATGAATATAAGAATCAGTATGGCCAGCCGTACGAATTCGTGGACTCGCAACAGGAATGTGCCAATGCAGGGGGCTGCTGCGCACGGTCGTGCGGGTGTTGTCAGAGGGGGCTTTATGCCATAGAAGCCAAGAAGGATCGAACGAGCCCCGTCTACGGCCACTGCACTCTGGAGTGCGCTTGCTGTATCCAGTTTCGTGAGTGTTATGTGCCTGATGAGCGTCTGTCGCCTCCGAAGACCAGGCCTCTGCTCAGATGAAGTTGTCTTGTGTATAGGGCTCTGTATTGGGTGCTCTCTTCCCCTCAATCGTTCGTGGCCCTTTCTTTTTTCTATCAAATAGCTTACAATCGGTCCCATCATGTCGATGACCCATCCCATTTCTATTTAATCTCTCTTCAGCCTGTTATCAACTATTCTTGAACTTTCTGCGACCCTTCTTCAAGCCCTCTTCAACCTCCAAGATACCGCTCGCCATCTTCTAGCTTACAATCAATCTAAGAAAATCAACTCTTGCGAATATCCAATGCCAACCACTCCTCCAACCCAACCTCAACCACCCCCAGCTCCATTCCTACCTTATGTCCCGTAAAAAGGAAGGTCCCACTACCCCCCAAAGACCCGAAAAAACACCCCCTCCACCCCCTCCCTAACGCCCACCCCACCCCTCCCCAGCAACATCCCCCTGAGCGCCCCAAACTCCCAAGCTGCCAGCCCCCTCCACACACTCCCCACAACGTCCACCGCACTAGCCTCGGGATCCCACCGATCCGCCGGCACCACCGCATTCACATCCGCCCCGAACTCCACAAACAGCCGCACGATCTCCGCCACCCGGCCGATCCCCTGCGGGTCCACATCGTAGTACCGCAGCCACCGACGACGCTCCGCCTCGCGCAGGCCCTCCAGCACATCGATCCAGGGCGTGCGCGCTCTGCCCTGGAGGTTGATGTACGGCTGGTTCGGGTCGATGCCCGCCTCGAGCAAGTCGCGGATGATCTGGGGGCTGGACAGCGGGTAGACGGTGTGGCGGCGGTGGGCGAGAAGATGTGTTGTGTGGGGGAGGAGGGGGATCACCCTTTTTGGTGTTGGGTCGTCTTCGCCGTCGGGATGAAGCGTGTCGTCGTCGTCTTGGGGGGGGTGTTTCTTTGCGGGATCGGGATTTTTTGCAGGGGGCGGGGGTACGGGTATGGGTACTTGGGCAGCTGCGGGTACTAGAGGCCGAAGTGTCCCATCGCGGATTTGTTGACGAATCAACCGCGCCAGCCCGAACTTCGCCGCGAGGGCGAGGAATGGGTGTTCGAAGGCCGCCCGCTTGCGCATCTCGTACGTCGAGAAGAGCGATTTGGCCCAGTGGTCGGTCTCCGCGGTGGCGCGGAAGGACCAGTGCTGGCATAGGGCGGTGTCGAAGGCGGGGATGAGGAGCAGTTCTGGCTCGGGGGAGGGGGAGAGGCGGGCGTGCGTGAAGGCAAGGGGGATGGCGGGCCACCATTCGTCGATCTGGCGGTGGCGGGTGAAGGGGTCGAGCGGGTGTTTGAGTTGGAGGATGTGGGAGGTCAGGAGGGAGTGGTGCGGGTCGAAAGTGTCTTTCAGCGGGTGGGTGAGGCGGGCCCAGATCTCGGGTTGGGAAAGGTAGTCTTTCACTGTGCGGTGGACGTATGTGACCTTGCGCTGGGCGAGGAGATGAGCTGGGGATGGGGTGGTGGCGTGGTGGACGCGGATGGTCGAAGGGTTGGGCCGGTGCGTTACGATCAGGCCTGCACATTCGTTGGTGAATCGGCTGGCTGTGAGGGAGCAGATTTGTTCGATTTGTTCGTCGCTGGCCTGTTGCACGTCTTCGGGGATGCTGAGCTCGGAGGCTTCGACTTGGTCGGCGAGGGCGAGCTCCCATAGTTGCATGGTGATGGCTTCTTCTTGGCCGGTGGCGTTGCAGGCGTCTTCGCGGGCGTTGAGGAGCTGGAAGATGCGGGAGATGGTGGTTGTTTGGTTGGTACTCGCTTGCTCGAAGATGAAATATGTGAAGAGGTCGTCTATATTGGTTGGGTGCTGGAGCAGGGATTCATGGAGCTGGGGGAAGTCGAGATGACTTCGCCGCGACAAGGATTGGACCGCCAGTGCTGCCCAGAGAAAGACACCATCAGCCCGATTCACGATGTCAAGAATGAGCTGTGATGCCTTCTCGGGATCCTTGCTGAAGAGGGACTGGATCTCCGGATCGGCAGATAGATGGTCTCGCGAGTAATCCAGCATATCCTGGCGCGTGCAGTCGTGGAGTTCCAGCTTAGGGTTCTTTCCGAAGGCTTCACGGAATACCGGCAGCGGCCGACTGGACAGGCAGAGCTTGAGGTGAGTGAACGAGGACACGAGCTCCTGCAGAAACGAGATCACATCTTCGTGATTGCCTGCGAACTCATCCAAGCCATCGATGAACAGACAAACTTTGGCTTCACCGGCTGTGTGCTGCATGAACCACCGCAATGCGTCCTTCAACTCCTTCAAGTCCCAGGCGACCGTCGCCTTGATCCGTTCTCGCGTAGTCAGGCGCCTGAGATGCTTCCACCGCGCCGGAAACACGACCGGGACAAGATGAGACTCCTGATCCAGCAGCTGGACCAGCAGATGACGCATTAGCCCCGTCTGGGACCTCTGCTCCAGGGTGCCACTGATCCAGAAATAGAACCCCGCTGTGATGAGTGGCTCATCCCCGGCCCATGTCGCCAGAAATGTCCTCGTGGTAGGATGGGACATCAAGAAGCGCATCAATGTTGACTTCCCGGACCCGGGTTTGCCGCTGACCCAGAAGATGCCGTCGTTGTTCCCACTGGATAGCCACTTCACCAGCGACTCCTGGACGCTAGAGCTGTGGTGATTCTCTGAGCCATCGGCAGCTAAGATCCAGTCGAAGGTGCCGTCGTGAGCGACCGCAACACTGTCTTCTCGATCAGTCATGGAACCGAACTTCAGGCTTTCGAGCAGAAAGTCCTGAAGGATCATTTCCTGGTCGGAGAATAGGGTCTCTTTGGTATATGTCTTCTCATCCTCGGGAATGCTCTTCTTCTGCCCGGGCTTCTTGCCAAAGAGCGACATCGCCTTCTTTCTAGCTGATAGCTTCCCATCTTCGTGCTGTGTGTCCGGCGGGTCCTGGTCGCGATGATCCTTGGTGGCGTCGAGCGCATCGAGTGCTTCACGGGTCGCAACGAGTTTGTTTGACTGAGTACTATCCATGTCTCAGTATGCTGACGGCTCCCAAGTGTTTGAGGGCATTCTCACCTGGGTAGATACTCCGCCGCAGACTCAATTGTGGCAATGATAGACTTGAGGCGTTCCTCCAACGTATCGACATCTTCCCGCGGCCATAGTTCTCTGAAGTTTCTCGCACTATGGGGAAGCTTGTGTTCATTGAGCTGTTCCAGAATATCGAGGCGACAAAGAATATTCTTGGTGATGACCTCACATGCATCGCGAACATTCTTGGATCGGTCCGGTTGTGTCAACGATTCTGCATTTGCCACGGAGACCCGGGAAAGCCTATCGCCCAATACACCGAACTCAGCTGCGACAGCATCTGCATCCCAGGAGTCCGTGAACTCCGCATCATCATCGAGATCATGAATTGCATACAAATTCTCAACCAGGCGCGTTCCGGCTTGGAGAAATTGTGCTATCTCCGTCGAGGGAGAAACGATGAACTCGCCCATTCTCTGAACGATAACTATGCAGCTTGGACGGTGGGCTGGCGTGGCGATGGAGATGACCCAGGAACAGAGATACAAGCAGGGAAACAGATTCACCGCGAGGTTGAGGTTCATCGCGGGGTACTGGATCACGCTATTAATAGATTAAATTGGTGGCTGCTTATCTCCGTCGGTGAGCACCTATAGGGCTCCAGGGAGACTATCGCGCGCAGCCATCATGGATATCATGGCGTGCTTCCGGATAAGTAGTCTTTCTCGCCTTTCAGGTGTTCGTCCGATATCCGGCCATTTTGATCACACCGTCTGTCATCTCTTCGCACAACGAATTGCGTATGCGGGGTAGCGATGGAGTGGCATTGCGGCAAAAGGCGCAGAGGAGCCGAGAATCACGCACACAACCAGCTGCAAGTGTCACCTTGTGAGGAAACTTGCTCAATGAGACTCTGAAACTCTGCGGGACATGCTTTTCAGATAAAGTCACAGGGTGTGGGTGAAAGCCTCTTTTGTATCCCGAGTATAAAACAAGGTCCAGCACGTAAGTTAAGTGAAACTGTATGACGGCTCCACCCCCGATAAGCTTCCCCGCAGAGCTTTCCGCGCACCCGAGCAAGTCTTCTTTCGAAAAGAATTACCTTATCAAGTAAAGAGATCCAGCCCCGGAAATGTAAAAAGCATACGCCCTCCCCTCAACCACCATCAAGGATCCCGCTCCCCCTTCCTCCTCCTTCTCCTCCTCCTCCTCCCACATCCCACCCAGATCTCATGCCACATAATACAACAATGCCCCCGAAACAACACATCCACATCGCCCTCCTGGACACCGACCTCCCCGTCCCCACCATCTACGCCCACCGCGGCCTCTACAGCACGCAGTTCCGACATCTCCTCCGCGCCGCCGCCGCCACCATCAACCCGGCCTACGAACTCCACACCACAGCCTTCGACGTGGTCGGCGGCCACCTCCCCGCCTACGCCAGTCTTTCCCAGCACTCCTCAACCCCAAACCCCGGAGCCAGCACCGCCTCCACCTCCAACCTTGCAGCCGAAGACACAGCCCTCAACCCCCTCTCCATCCCCATCACCGCCATCCTAATCACGGGCTCCGCCGCCGCGGCCTACGACCCCACCAAACCCTGGATCGCGGCCCTCACCACCTTCCTCCAAACCGTCCACTCTCAGTACCAGGGTGTCCGGCTCTTCGGCAGCTGTTTCGGACACCAGATCCTCGCCCGGGCGCTGCTGGAGCTGCAGGGAGCCGCGGGCCAGCAGCCCTACGTGCGCGTGGAGCCTGCGCCGCATGGGAAGGAGGTCGGGTTGAAGAGCGTCGTCCTCACCCCGGAGTTCACGGGGGCGTTTCCGGGGGCGTTTCCGGGGGCGTTTGCGTCTCCACACAGCCGGAATGTTCCGCCGGATGGGCAAGATGCAACGGACGCGGACGGGCGATGGAGGTGGAGGTGGAACATCCAGATGATCCACGGCGACCACGTCCGGGTCTGTCGGCCCTTGCCGGCGGGGTGGTGTGTGGTCGGGGCCAGTGCGGAGTGTGCGGTGCAGGGGCTTTATCGCCCGGGCAGGGTGCTGACCTATCAGGGGCATTTTGAGTTCGATGCCGAGGTGAACCGCGAGACGTGTCTGGAGTTTGGGAGGAGGGAGGGGTGGAAGGCTGAGGATGTGGAGAGGTGGGTGCAGGCGATTGGGGCGGATGGTGAGGGGAGTGATGCGGTGGGGGCAGCGGGGGTGGTGGTGAGGTTTTTTGCGGGGGAGGATGAGCACGGGGATGATATTGCTTTGGTGCGGGGTGGTGTTGGGGTGCTTGGGGAGGGGAAAGGGAAGGATGGTACAGAGAAGACGGGCTGGGGTTGGAATTGGTTTAAGCTGCTGGGGTGGAAGGATGGTTAGGTTTGGTTACTGGGACCAATTCAGTACATCGGTAGTGGAAAAGGTATAGACATAGCAAATAGAAATAATCAGAAAAAGTATTATATGAACATAATGAATTTGATAATGTAAGTATGATTTCTGCACGAGACCTACAGTATTTCACCAGCCTTGCCTAGAGCCCTAGGTATTGTACCTATTCCTTCTCAGCTTTCGGCTCAGTCTTCTGCTGAGGCTTCTGCTGAGGCTTCTGCTGAGGACTCTGCTGAGGGGTCTGCTGAGGCTTGCGCTGGGTCTGCTGTTGAGGCCTCTGCTCAGCCTTCTGCTCAGCCTTCTGTTGATGCCTCTGCTGAGGAGTCTGCTCAGGCGTCTGCTCAGTCTCCTGCGCAGGCTTCTGCTGAGAACTCTGCTGAGTCTTCAGCTCACCCTTCCTCCCACCCCTCTTCCCCGACTTTTTCGCCCTCAGCGGCCGCGGACGAAGCTCCGTCGCCTCGATATTCGCCCCATGCGGCTGCTGCTGTTCGAGCAGACGCAGCCAGTCGCGCTGGTGCGCGTCTTTCTCGTACAGGTCGGCGCGGTCTCGCCAGGTCTTCACGTCCAGCCGCAGGCGCCGGGGCGGGTCGAAGGTCTTCTCCTTGGGCGGCGGGACGCGCCGGACCCTCAGGAACTGGATGGCCTTGAGCCACGGGCGATCCGAGCCCTCGAAGGCGTCGTTGATCTTCTTGAGGATCACCTCCTCGGGCAGCGGACGCCACTTCTTGTCCAGGTACAGCTCCTGGTGCGAGCACACGAAGATGAACGGCTGCTCCCGGTACTCCGGCGTCTGCGGCTGCGTCTGCGTCGCCGCTGGTGCCGGGGCGGCAGTGGGTGCTGGGGGTGGAGCCACCACCGTCGAGTTCAGGGGGATCATGTCTGACAAGTTGAGGCGCACCATTCTGGCTGAGTTTCGGGGGGTCCTGTGAGTGTTTCTTTGGGTTAGGTGTGATCTGAGTTGTGGGTCAGGTCTGGGTTGTCGGAGGTGGACCGGTGGGAGGGGTGTATTTATATTGAACGCATGGGTCGAACTTGAGATTGTGGGAAAGAAGGGTTCCGGTATGTTCGTAAAGAATCCAACTTGGGCCATTGTACTGGTTAGGGACCAGGCCATGATCTGGAGGACGGATAAAGAAGCCTCTTGCATGTTGTGTGTCAACAAGGGATTAGCTGAAATGTTCATTCACATGGTCTTTGCTCTTCGTGAGATATTCACATCAGTGAGGTTTCATTGTATGGGTTGGTGTCATGGGCCGTCTGACTCTGATAGACCTTTGATGCAGGATGCATTCTTTGAGTGTGTGCTTTGTTGTGTTGGATATGAACAGGATTGTGGATAGCCTCTACTACGGGAGCTATCTCGAATGCCGGTATACTCCGTCTTGATCCGTAGTTATGGTTGGCTGGAACGACAAGGCTATCACAAGCCTGAGGGCCACCTGAGGAAGACTTCAGACTCATTTGATACCAAGCATACACGGTATGGTACGGAGAGGAAAGTAGGACTTCTTGAATGTCATTCGTGAGAAATGCTGCTAGAAGTAGCATGCCGGCCGCAGGTCCCCATGCGGAGACGATAAGATAAGCGTGACCGGAAATTTTTCGAAGGGGTTTGCGTGGCATCGCGGTGATTCTAGAGATGCAGCTTGGTCGTGATCAATCTACGTCGTGGATACCATTTCGAGTCCCAGGTGTTGTCGCTGCGGGGGAAGATCCAGATTTTCGCTACGATTGACTTACCGTCTTAAGAGCTATGCCACTAGTTACGAGATGACGGCCCAGGAAGACGCAGGGAAAGCACTACGAGAGGTCCAAAGCCTCGCGACAGGGACGCAGGGAAACGAAATGCAGCAATGCCCCAGCCCGACCTTGCATGTGTCCATCAGACAACACCCAGTCGCAACTGCGCGCACAACCCCAACTCATCGACCCAATCACCAAATCGAAAGAACTTACAGACCCCATTTTGAACGACGGATAGATGGGAAGCAGAACGCTCCCATCTATACACACCATTGTGAATCACAGCGAAAGAAAAAAATATAGATCAAGAATGGATATTTCATTTTTTTCATTCGTCCGTGATTGCGCCAGGATTCCGCAGGGTAGACGTGTCCATCTATACCCCTTGAGAATAAGTGGCTGGATCAGCGGGGAAGGCAAGGGGAGGGCCTCCGTGAATCCCGCGTCGTTTTTGATCGATAAAAATCAACTCCTGCCATTTTGCAAAAATAGGATGCACCCGGAACCCCACAAAACGCTCTTCCAGCAACAGTATCACATCAGAGGACCGCGCATTTAAGCGGACTTGACGGCCTCACGGCCCTTGGCCTTGCGGGCAAGGATCTCCTCACGGTCCTTGTCGAGGTGGAGCTTGGTGATGACGACGTTGGAGGGGTGGATGGGGAGAGGGACGCTCTGGCCGTTGGACTTCTCGCGGACGACGCGCTCAACGTGGATGCACCACTTGAGACGGTAGACGGAGGTGATCTTGCCGTCACGGCCCTTGTTGGAACCACGGACAATCTGGACCTCGTCACCCTTGCGGATAGGGATGGAGCGGACCTGTTGGTCGATGTGATTAGTAGAAGTTCGTTTGGTTGATCCCAGTGTGCAAAA